CACAATGCATAAATATATTTTTAAATGTTACAAAAATCTTGCCTTCTAGTTTCTATCAGTGACTTGTAACAATTAATTTTTGATCAAGTAACGGATCACTTATATTTTGATTTTAATTACAAAATATTAAAATAAATTATATTTTATGAATTTTATCAAGTTAACCACACGTAAAATGATTCGAGACAAAAGCATTAAATTTAAAAACCTTGAGTTTTTAATTTTGAATTTAATTATATGACTATAAAAGTTTGTAAAAATTGTATCACTAACTTTCAAAAGTACTGTCAAATTTAATTTCTGAATTCATATTTTGATTAATATTTTCACTAATATAATGTCAAGTTTAATTATGAGAGAGAAATTTTTATAAATTGTATCAAATATTTAATTATAACTTTATACTTACATAGATTTTATAATTGTTGTTTTAATAATGCAAAAATTTTTAATTTTTTCATTTCATTTGATTAGTATTGATTACTTTAAAATTTTTTCATTTTATTTGATTATTATTGATTACTTTAAGAATTTTTCCCCAATTATACTAAAATGTATTAATTAGTTTAGGTATTTCTGAAAATTTTGTTTGCGAACAAAAAATTTTCAGTGATTTTCTCATGAAAAATTACATACACATTTTTTTGAATTATTTAACAACAAGTTTTTTTTTTATTAACAATATTTAGGATGAAAATCATTGTTTTACGATGGAATTTTCAGTTAAATTCATATTAATAAAACAAGTTTTTGAATTCTTTCAACAAATATGCTGCTAACATTTTGTGCGTAGCCCACTTTGGAATGGATCTTTTACTGCTCGCAATCATTTGCTGACATCTTGACCTTACCACACTTTCAAATGACCTTAAGCATAGAAAATATCAGTTCTAAGTGATTAGCTACATTATAAAATATAAAATCGTTTTATTACCATTTACTCAGATTGAATTGCATATATTATCGAATTTTCATAATTCATTTTTGAGTAATGAATTTCATATTTATAGAATAATTATTTTCTGCTTACATAATTTCTGCGCACAATTTTTCCGTACATTTTAAATACGCTATATTAAGAATGATTGCATTAATAATTAAATATCACTACCTTACTGCACATATATTAATTATTAATGAATATGCTTACAAATATTGGGGTCTATTTATTGATGACAAACACACGTCAAATTTACAAAAACTTAAAAGCACAGTTATTAATTTAAAAATCACAACTAAGTTATTGAATTCAAAATGATATACATTATTGTAAGTCACATTAAATTAATTAAATTATATATTGTATGCTGTAATTAGAATAATTTTCAATATGCTCACAAATGTTTACATTCCAAGGCCCTTTAGTTTTTATGGAAAACTTGCTTTTTTACTACTTATAAAAAGTAGTTAGTTTTAGTGACAAAATGCATAATTTTCGCTGTTCTGTTTGTCATTTTTCTGTTTTTTCAGCTTTTTTTTCGATTAAAATTTAGAATTAAAAAAAAAAAGTTTAAGAACGAAATAGACTAAATTTAATTGAGCTCAAATTAAATCATTATCAGACTGAACAGAATCTCAATAGAATTTAGTATTCATTTACACTTTTATACTAATTTACAATTTACTGTTAAATGCAAATACAATCACTGTATTGTTTTTTTCAGAACTTTGTAATTTTTTAATAATTTTTATTAAGAAGCAATGATTGATACAGTATACTGCTAGATATCCCTAAGCCACAAGCATATTATGTTATTTATTCTCTAAAGGTTATTGTCAATGAACTGTAAGCAACCATAAACGACAAATCTGATCTTTGATAAATGTACAAGAGATTACTTGAATTTAAATACTGATTTTCGATTACTTTAATTAATTAGTATTAGATTAATAAGATTAATAATCAATATGTCTCAATAAGTAAGTCTTAAAGAAGGAAATATCAATATTATTTCAGGTGGTGATTTGTCAGAGTTCGCTGGAACTCCGCCATTATCTTGGGCCTGATAGTCTAACGATGGATGTAGGAGGTACACTAAAATACAACCATCTGGAATGGGTTCAACATCGTATGGTAACTTTGTTGTTTATATATTTTATGAAAATTTTCAAAATAATTCAAAATTTAATATTCATTACTAAAATGTAATTGTACCTATCCAAAAATCTAAGCTAACGTAAAAAACGTGAAATTAAATAATTTATAAATTTGCATTAATATTTGCAGTGAAGATCATTACTCTCGTGGTTATGACCAGATAAAACGACTTCATAATGACCAATAATAACGGCTTTTAATTATCAAAATTATTATTGCTGAATATTTTCTGAGATTTAAGTCATAATTATTAATGGGTGAAGATGATATTAAGCAGCTACAAGCCAAAATAATTTTTTGTTTAGTGCGGTTTCAATACTTTTACAGTTTGATAGAAACCATAATTATTAGTAATCAGTCAATTACCAAAATTAATATTTTTTCAGTTTAAAAAAATGTTTTTTGAAATTATAAAGTCAATCTTTACTTTTATTGCTCGATTTAAAGTTATATTCAAAATTGTACTGAACTTAAAAAAGCATTGTCCACTTACTTAACAGCATTTCAATTACCAGTGTATTTTATTAATTTTGATAATTGATTCATTACTAATAATTACTGATTGCTACACTACTGTGGCATGTGATTCAGTTCAGTACTGATCATTTACAAGAAATTTGATAAAATCGAAATTTATCTTTTGGAATGTAAATTTCAAGGTTTTTAGTACAAGAAATTTCGGAATCGTAAAAAAAAATTTCGCTCATTTCACGCAATGAAAACAAGTTTGTTTTTTTTGCATTTCGTTATAATAATACATGACCTTTGAACTCTCTCATTGTTAACATTAAAAAATTTATGTGACAAATTTTTTTTAGGACATCGAACGAATGAAGTCATCAGCAACAGTAATTGCTCAATCACTAAGTGAATTTGGCCGTTGTCTAAAAGAAACAGAGTTACCAAATGATGTCGAGACAACTGCGCGAATTCTGGAAATGCAAACCGCGGAACGAGACGCCATTAAAGTAGTCAATAAATAGTCAATAACTACACTGATCAATAATTACAGTCTAATCAATTAGAAATTAATAGTGGGTATATTAGTATAGACTATGATTTTAAATAATTATAGATGAAATATATTTTCAGGAAGATTTCCGAATATCTATTAGAAAAGGATTATCGTTGTTACGGCACGTTCGTCAGCTTGATGTCAAACCAGAACACGAACAGCTCAGTCCGACAAGGTAAATCTATTCAAAGTTTTCTGCAGTTATGATCTCAAGGATTACGCGACTAATTTGACCTTACGATTTTTGAATCTTTCATTCAAAAATTATATAACTGTATTTTCACAGTGCTTCTGAATTTTACAATACAGTACTACTGCGCATTTAATGTATGTTTGAACCCCCAAAATATTTATGTTGTATTTCAAAGTTTATTATAACATGAAGTGCTGAAACATTGTTAATCTAAATTAGTCAAAAATATAATCTAGTCTTATAGTATAAGAAAAAGTATTACTGTATTGTAAAATATTTGTGATCTTAAGTTATTTTAATTACAATCTGATTTTATACAGTAAGCGAACTTCAGTAAACTGCATAATTTTGGGTTTTAAGCACAAAATTGTGCAGTTTACTGTAAACAAATACAAAAGTTATGAATTTTTTTAAAAATAATTCTTTGAGTACTTGTCGATCCATAAATTTTTCTACTTTTGGAGTAGTTACTGTAAAAAATATTTATCGTAATAATTATTGTACTATTATTGACTTTTTGTAGCTGATAAAGTATACTTTACTTAAAATCGTATACTAGATTGTGAAGTTTTTAGGCTTCACAATGTCACTGCAATCGAGCGTATGCTAATACAGCTAGAAGAAACAGAAAGAAGTTTTGATACATTTTGGGTGAAACATGAAAAACGCTTAATGCAGTGTTTGAAATTACGACGCTTCGAAGATTCATTCAGAAAAGTAAACTAAGAGTAAATTTATTTATATGATAAAGTAAAACTAAGATAATGCTTAAAAATGTTAATTTTTAAGAAAAACTATCATTGGTTCAGGTCAGAGTTCACCAAAATTAAAATTATCAGGTAGAATTTGCTTATGAAAGCAAAAAAAGTTAACAGTAAATAACGAAGTACAATAGTCGTAAAAATAATAATAATAATAATAATACATAGTAACCATTATATGGATAATTCTAATCTGATTCCTATGGATGCGCATCTGCAAATAAGAAGGTCAGAAGGTTAAATGCAATGAAGGTCACTATAGTTTTATGAATAGCACTTGACCTTTGAATATATCCAAAGGTCAAATATGGATTTCCAATTGATTTTCCTTGACAACATAAAAGTGGTCATCATCATGTTTATTGCCATCATTAAAATTTAACTTTGTTACTCTGCTTTATGAAGCTATTTTTTCGTTTTACTTTTGCAGTATTTCTAAGATTTTCTTTTGTGCAACATTTGCAATACTTCCACATATGCACCGTAAAAAGTGGAATGAATATTAATATTATTTCTGTAAATACTCATTGATATTTGAAGTATTGACGTGAAGCATTTACGAACATTCGGTATTAATAAGCACACGTGTTATTTTCGTTGCTGTTATTAACACTAATATTCCCGCTGTTAGCATGAGTATTGAATATTAGAGCAGCTATTATGGTTAGACTGAGTAAATTTTTTTAATTTCTACACTTTTTTCAATTTCTTTTATTCATAATTTGATTTCTTGAGGATTTACCCGCCTAAAACTTCATTATATTCATAAACTCTTACAATTTCACAAAATAATTTAAACAGTTCAAATTTAAATTACGATATTTTAGTGTAGTACTTAACTGAGAAATGATTTTTGGTATGTTATGAAGCGAAAAATTGGAAGTACACTTTGGTTTTATAAACTGATCATACATCAAAAGAATGCACAGTGAATTACATTTTAATTACAGGTCAAGAATTGACCTTTACAAGTCTTATATTTCTTTTGAATGTCTTTTTTGTCGTTAATATTATTCAAAGATACTTTTTTCTTCATTTGAAAGAATTTTTAATACTTTCCATTAATAATTTTGCGATATATTTTCTGATAAATCACCCTATTAATCAATTAGTTTTCAGTACCCATTGATCTTATCTGAATGAGATTCAAAGTTTTAATTTAGTCCCGTAGAATCTATTAATTTAGTACTTAAATAAAGTTGAGCTTAAGTTTAGCGCAGTTTAGCAAAGTATCTTCAAGAATTCAGTCTGAATTTTGTCGATGGATTGATTCGCTTAGAATTTAGCTTCCATATTTTCAGTAATAAAATCAATCAATATCACACGGAGGTTACTCCAGTAATAATAAGTCATATTTATTGATTGATCAAAATATTATCAGACTTAAAAATCTAATCGTTGAGTGATTGAAAATGCACGCGAATAGCTAAGAGAAAATAATATAAATAGCAAAATAATTGCAGATTGACACCACTCTCAACATAATCGAGAATTTTCTTCTTTTTTTATAATTTGTTTTGCAATCTTAATTAATAAGTTATTAATTATTAAATAATGATTAATTATTAATAATGATGTCTTAATTAATGAATTACGGTAAGTACTGACGCATTCATTTGCAAATACTTTTATAGTTTTGACTTCTTTTTCTTTCGTCTATCTTCTTAAATTCCTATTAAATTCAAAAAATAAAAAAAGAAACCAAAAAATTTGAATGAAATAAAAATCTTTCATTTTATCTTTGCTTAATTAATTTCCAAGCAAAATAATTTGATTTATTAAATAACTTTTGAAGAGATTTTATTATTTCGCTGTTACTATCTAATTTTTTTTCGCTCTAAAAATTTAAAACTGCAATATCGATGTACTCAATAGCGAGAACTTTTATTCGTTCATTCAAATTATTAATTTCTAAAACATTACATTTTTCGCAATTTTTATTAATAAACTTTATTTAATTACTCAAATATTTATCTAATTAGTCTGTAAAATAATATTTTGCCCAATCGCTGAAACAAGCAGCCCTAATTTATGATTAGCTAAGTGAATAATTAATCGGTATATTATAATTAATAATTAGCTAAGTGAATAATTAATTGCTATATTATGCAATTGTATTAGTAAAAATAACTTCTACATAATACTTTGGCTTACTTTGTTCACAATATTCACAAACTTTACTGAAAAAAATAAAAAAAATCAAATATAAAAAGTGTTTTAGACCAAAATTATATCATTTGGTGACAATTTTATATTATTTTGTTTCGTTTTTGTCACTTTCAATTATGTTTGTTTTTCGAAAAGTTATTTTTGCTTGTACGCTAATTTAATTTCAATGTTTTTTTCATGTTTTTATGTTTTTCATATTTTTATGTTTTTCATGTTTTTTTCATTAATTGTATTCCTAATAATGTACTGCGAAAAAAAGAAAAAAAACCAATTTTTTACTTTTTATCTTTTTTAAAGTATCTTAAATAGTCTATAAAGATTCCTTTCATCAGTTCTTTTGTAAAGTATATAGTCGGTCGCATCTATTCATTCACACGCTTTTAGATATCATGCATTTTTACACAATTGCTGTATAGTTTAACTTGGCAATAATAAATTATAAGTTATTGATTGAAAAACTGATCATAGTGAAATAAAATAACGCTTATAAAAAATAATTATTCTAATTCTGTAGTCATAAAATAATATGTCACAATATAAAGAATAATTAATTTCGTATAAACGTGTAAATTATTTATTTTGATTGCTTTCATCTTTTTAATAACAAATTCAATATAATATAAAATATAATTGATTGTATCTGCGTTAAATATGATTGATGATATTATTTAGTTATCTTAATTAAGCTTTGCTTACTTGCTAATATTTTTAGTATGAAGTGAATGTAATAATATCATAGGAAGTATTGATTAATTATATGAAGTACTGATCAATTGCAAGAAGTATTGATTGATTATAAAAAAATTATAATTGTAAGCATGATTTTAGCTACAATCTGCATTTGCAAAGCATATGATCCATCTGGAAGAACATCGTGAAGTGGGTGATGGAGCCGAAAAAGCAGACCATTTGGCCCGCGCACATCTTGAATATTCTCAACATGCTATGGTTAGTCTTGGAATTAGCATATTTTTTAATTCTCTTAAAAAGTTATGCTTTTGTAATAAATTTGTTCAGATAGTAGACGAATATAGTAAAGCTTTTTACTCTGATAAGAGTTTTTTCAAACTTTAATTGAATTAAATACTCTATTTATACGTGTAGATAACTACACGTAAATCATTGTGTAATTATCATATTCGTAAACTTATAGCGTAAATAACCACTTTGCTAAACATCGTATCTATGGATACAAATAATATGCATAATTATTATGAATTTAAAAATTTGCATTTATAATAATTACGCATTCATTATTATAAATAAATATATTATATTATTTGAATTTTGTTTCATAAAAAGCCCATATGTGTAGTAGTTTTCTGATGCGTATATATTCTCAGCAAATATGAATTCTAAGAACATATTTTGTACAGAAAGTAGTGCTTCTGTACAAAATACAGTTGTCAGAGATTTTTTTCACATAATTTAAAATGAAACGAAGTGTAAAAAAAATTTGGTTATCCGTCAGAGTGAAATTGGAATTTGTTGATATATGAACTGAACTTATAGAGGAAATTGTTATTACACGTCAAAAAGTGCTACTTTTATGCTATCACTTTAGATTGTGATAACAAATAACATTAGATAACATTAGTTCTCTTATGCTGCATTCTATTCAGATTCTTCATCTTTAGCTTTCTGATTGCGATGAATTCAGTCTTACAGAATACATCTGCTAACTAATATTGCTCGAAGTCTTAAGTAGCGACAAATTTTTTTGACAAATTTATTTAAAAGGATTGATGAAGAATATATTTTTAAGCATGTGCATCCAATGTAGAAATAAATGGTAGTGAAAGCATGAGTTTAAGCTTTAATTGAATGTCATAACATAGGAATGTATATATAAATATATAGGAAAATGTTAACAGCACTCACTTTTTTAGGAAGATGTGCACGGTGCACGTAATTTACGTGATACGGGTCAAGAACTAATTTCGTCACAAGATGTGGAACTTACGGCTAGCTTATTGCCAAAATGTGACGAATTAGATCGAATGGCTAATGCGTTAAGCGGAGCGTTAGAACGACGTAGTCAAGTTTTACGTTTAAGTAAGGAAATGCATCAACAAATACTTGCAGTAAGTAATCAAAGTTTTACTTTAATATAAGTCGAAAAAAGTGTTAAAGTGTTAATACCAAGATAATTACATTTTTTAAATAATATTTTCGTTAATATCAATATTTCTCGAAGTATTAAGTGAAGACAGCTTTTTAATTGAACAAAATATAGTCGTCAGAAGTAATTCTATAAAATGCAAAAATTTCTCTCAAACTTTAAAGTTAACGAATAAAACTCTTAGTTGCATTAGTTTAATACTTTTATTTATACTTTTACTTTTATCTCTGATGATAATATTTTTGCATTAATATTATTAATAATATTCAAAGAATGACAAGCGTGATTGAAGCTTAGTACTTTTTGAGTAATAAAACTGATAATAGGACTCATTATGCAACCACAACAAGCTTCTAAAATACAAACTTAAACACCTTAAAAAATTGTGGACCTAAATTGGTGATGAATACAAATGAATTATTTCACTTTTATTAACTCTTACTTAATTTTGAAAGTAATTAATTCATTTAATTTTTGGACCAAAAAAATTATAAACTTATGCACTATAATTTGATTTCTATAACAGTAATAATTTATAACTATAATATGGATAATGATTATAATATTATTAATAGGCAATAATAGTAATAACTATATTGCTATATGATGATGATAGTAGTAACAGTAATATTGCTGTTGTGGTCATCAATTTCTACTGGTAAAGGATGTGTATAGTATCATAATAAAATTACTATTATAATTATTATGCAACTTGCTCAGCATAAGAAGTGGTCTGAATGTTTAATCTGAAGAAGCATCTGTTATAAGAATAGATTCATTCATAGCTGTGAATCACTTTAAAGTTGCCTTCAAGTAGATTAAACACTTAAAACGTTTAAGTCAGACTTAAATCTAAATTTACGATAAGTATGCAATAATTGCTGTAATTCTAATTTTATTGCATATTCTAAAGTATTACTTGTAGAGTAATTACGAAAATTGTTCATATGAATTTACTTTTTTAGCTTCGTTGAAAACTTACAGAAATTTCGTTGAAAATTTTTCGACTTTTTTGAAAAGTTGATAATTGCTTAACATTTTTAGCATTTTACTTACTAAATTATAGTTTCTGAAGTTTGAAATTTGACTTTTTGTAAAATAAAGTTATTACTAATTAAGTGACACATAACTTTTTTTTAAAAAGTTCTGAACTTTCAAAAGTATTTGAGTAATTAAAATATATTTTTTGTATTTTTTCTGACGACTGCATCATTTTGGCATACAAAATTGTTATTTAATTTTTTCCAGGCTAATAATTGGTGTCGGAAAGGAATCGAATTACTTACGTCAATACCGTATGATGTGACTTCTAATACTGCTTTGACTGCGTTGACTTCTGTAGAGGAGTACATTAACGAAAGCGAATCTTTAAAAGTCAGTGATAAGTCAAGAATAATACGTTAAATCATGTAGTAAACTTCTTCCCGTTTGATAATCTTTCTTCTCCTTTCAAAGTAAATAAAAAAATATTATTAAGTGATTAATTAATTTTCAAAGGTTTATTTTAATATAATAAGTTTTTGATGTCTCATATTCAAATTAGTATTTGAGTTGTTGATGATAACTGATAAAGATTTATGACAATAACGTAAGTGTTAATTTATTTAAGAAATTCTTAAAATTATCCCCTAAGAAAAATTGCCAAAACACTGTTTTTCAAGTTATATATTTATAGAATTTGGTAAGAAAGTATTTTATAATTTGTTACTTCTTTATAAAATTTGAAAACAATTATCACAAATGATAATTTCTTGTCAATCCGTTTCTTAGTAATTTTTCAGTTGGATACGTTTAGCCAAGAATCAGATTTGAATAAACTGATAATGCTCACTACAACCGAAACGTCCACTTTGCTTAATCAGGTAAATAATTTTCAAATTTTAAACTATTATTGAGTTTCACTTTCAGAAGTCTACAAAAGCGCTTAAAATTTGAGAAATAATTTGAAGCTATTTAATATAATAATTTAAAAAATGCCAAAAATAATACAATGATTTGGTCTTTATGATGTGAAATACAACAATTTTTTGAGATTTTTTCATTCAAATTTGTTTCTCATTAAAAAAGTGATTCAAGAATCAATATTGATAAATATTATATCTCAAATATTAATAATGATTATTTCTAGTATTTCTGAGGTTTATGAAAGGCGATAACAGCCTTTTCATTAAGAATTCAAGTCATATATACCTGCCATCTTATATTATCAGTAGAAATTAGTGATCAGTTTTGACGTAATCTCTCCCAAAATTTGCTGTTTAAATACAATATATTTGCGTATGCAACAATGTATGAATAAATTCATTCACTTGATCACGTGAATTCTTGTGTTGTTTTTAGATTCCGTTCTTTTTTATTACATACAATGTTCATATTTTATAATAATAATTTAATGTTGTTCAAGTTTTAATATTATTTAAACTGGTTTTATTGAAAACTCAAAAATATTCCCGCGATTTTATTTTATTTGATTTATTATAGAATATTTAATAAATATATATTATTTGATTGAATTTTGTGAAAAAAGTGTTACAAAACGTATTCAATTTCTTGTATTCATAAATAGAAATCACTATTTAATTATTATAGCGCCAAAAAAAATGTTATTAATAGTTTCATAGTTTATAAAATTATAGTTTATTTATTGAAATTACTGAAGTTGTTTTGATGTAAAAGCTTGCAGTATCTGAAGTTATTACTTTTCTGTAATGAGTTACAGGTAATAGAAAGAATCACGGATATTAAACGTTTAAGTATTTCTCGACGTGACGCGCTGCAAAAAATGGCCTTCCGAGAAATTCGAAAACCTCCTGTTCAAGTAGTTAGTCCGGAAAAATTGCCACTTTCTGATAATGCTAATAAAGAATCCATACGTAAGGATTCACTTGCTTCGTCACCTACTAGTAAGGTGTGTTCGATATTCAGTTCATTAAGCTTTCTGCATAATTTCTAATCTCTTTTTGCATAACAAGCCGACAACACTTTTAATTTCATTTATATTCCACGCAACATCTGCGTTAAATCTACGTGATGCATTCCTCTTTGGCCTTTACTTGAGAGAAATACAGACAGAATTAAAAATATTGATTAAACCACAATATTTTCTATTAGAAACTTTGATTACAGAAAATTTGATCGAATAATTTGATCTCAGTAAGTAAAAGGTTCAAAAGGCTTGTTATCTATCAATAATCAAATATTACTTAAAAAAGTTTGTAAGTTTTCGGTAATCGAGTAATCCATTATTAACTGGTGAATATTTTGCGAATTAAATCCATGATTGAGTCGATTGATATCAGAAGAATCATTTCCGTCATTACTTGAAACTATGAAAAATTTCATAGCATCAAAATTAATCATCCAGTTTCGCAGCATCCCAATGATGCATTTTTAATATTAATTATTTAACTTATTAAAAGTTGTAAAGTTATTTAAAATTTTGAATTTCTAAAAGTATCAAAAATCAAATTATTTACCAGAATACTTTAAAAAACTAAAATATATTTGAAGTGAAAAGTGAAAATATGTAGCATTGCTAATAACTCTCAAATCTCTTAAAATTCTAATTATTTTTAATAATAAAACACTTATTTTAATTTCTATTTTGAGTATTTATTGATTTTTCACTTTTATTTTCATTGCACTCTAAAAAGTTCAGCATTATTGATTGACAATATTTTTACTAATAAATTTATTTCAATTTATTTTTTATTTAAGTTTTTATATGCTTAAAATAAGTATGTACCATATTCACATTAATTAGACTTTAAAGAATTTTGTTTTATAATTATAATTTAAATCATATTTAGATCATATTTTTTAAAATTTATCATCTTTTATTTCTCATCGTTGTCTTTATCAAATTGGATTAACAAGTACATAATTATTTAGTTGAATTTAAATTAATAAAATTTAGACAAAAAGAAATTTAAGTATTCATTCAAGTCATTTAAATTTAAGTATTCAATTCCTGCTTGCACTTTGATGAGCAGGATTTTTGCATTGAGATATTTGCTTTGTGTTCAAGTGAGCTATTACCTAAGATTACAGATTAGAACGGTTGATTATTACATTTAGTTAAAAATAGAAGGCATTTTCAATTATGAAATTTTTGCAGTATTTACAGCTTTCATATTTTTTTCTTGTTTTCATAATTATTGATTCTGCTTTATCGATTTTGCAAGACTTCAAAGATAGTATTGATTTAATCGAAGGAACAACCGATAGTCAGAATTAGGACTAATTGATTGATTGATTGCTTGATCGAAAAAGTCGGATTTTTTTTTACTCGAAGCAATGCCATAAGATGTTTACGGAATACTTAAATATTAGCTAGCGAAATTTCTTGCGTATTTTTTTCATAATTTCTTTATTTTTTTTCAATTATTTATGATTTTGCTCAAATTTTTAGCTATTTTTGTACATCTTTCTACATTTTTAATTATTACTTTTTTTAAATTTATGTTTTTTTGAATTTCTTTTTTTCAATCAAAAAGTTTTGCAAAAAAAGTTAGTAAAATTATGAATGAAAAGTTTTTCAAATATCATTTTTTCGAATTTATTTTTTGTCAATTTGCTGATTGCCAAAAACAGTGCACAAATATAATTAGAATATGAAAAAAGTCCTTGAAGATATTTTTTTTAATGAAACATTGCAACAACAATAATAATAATAATAATAATTATTATTATTAAAATTCAAATGTAACAATTATAATAACAGTAATAATTATAATTATTATTAAAATAAAAATGTACTAGCAATAATAAAAATAATAATAATTATTATTATTATTATTAAAATTAAAAGTAAAATGTACAAGTATATAAACTGCAGCAAAAAAAGGCTTTATGCATTTATTGCTCATAAAAAATTTATTTGAGGCCATTCAGCGCTAACAAAAATTTTTAAATATATTTTAAATTTAAATGCAAACTGAATTTTGAATAAAAAATAAGAATAAATAAATAACTGTGAATGAATTTTGAAAAATGGCTGAAGCGATTTTTCAGCCAAATTTTATTCATTTCAAATTTTTATTTGTGCTTGCATGCAAATGAAAGCCAGGTGTTTCACTGTGCTCAATTTATTTCAAAGTTTATTAAAGTTGAATAAACGCAAAAAAACGCGTAAAATACTTTTCTTATTTATTATTTTAATTAAAAAATTTTTAAAATATTATTATTGCGGTTATTAGCATTTATAAACTTATTTTCATTCTTAGTAAAATGTTGGCATTCCGTTTTCATCAACATATTTATTTCTGCATTTAAATTGCTTACATTCTCGTTATTATTATTAATATTAATGTCATCTTGATGATATTATCGATTACAATTAAAATATTAATGTTAAAAATTATCATTTTTTACTTTAGACATGCTAAGTGATAAATAAGTAAGATGATTACTTAGTGAGATTAAAAATTTGCATAGTAAAGTAAAGCAAAAGCAATCCAAATTATTACATTGCGAGAATTGCTCGATTATTACATTTGCTCTAAATTTTAAATCAGCGTTATTTTCTTTCTTGTTTATTCAATCATATCATTTATTACTTCTAATATGAAATGAAGATTCGAGCACTCCAAGTATTAAATCCAAATTTTTAATTTCATATTTCATCCTTTTAAAGTCTTTTTTAGACCAACCAGGTAAGCTTGGATATTGCAAATAACTAAAATTAGCATACTTCAATATTAATACATTACTGATATAACTTTTAAAATGCTTCTAGAAATCAATTTTTTGAATAATAAATTTATAAAATCTATGCCTTAAATTTGCGTAAATAATACGTGAAGTTCATTCATGTGAGAATTATTTTTGGTCTATTATTGTTTTGAGTTTTTGTTATTGCTTGAAGTACGCTTATTTTAGTTATTTGTAATACACATTATTATTGTTTTCAGTTTTTATTTTTTAATCTAAAACTTTTTATCACTTAATATTAAATTATTTGATGCATATAAAAATTAGAATTTAAGTATAAGACGTGCTTTTTCACGTGCTTGAAAACAAATATTTGCTTTAAAATAAATTAGCGTAGATTGTAGTCACCTTAACATTTAATTTCTTCACTTTTAATACGTGAAAAAATTTTAGATCCATTTTTTAAAAGCCATATTGATTACTTAGCATAAATTTTTGCTAACTAATTCATCTGAAGTGCATTTGAAAAGAATTCAATTGAGGGATCAGGTAGCCAATCACTCTGGTTATTGAGAAGGCCACATTTTACGTCTTGTAGATGACCATTTAGAGTTTTAATTAGTATTTGCATTATATAATAAGATTAGATTATAAGGCTCGTAAAAGTGATAAATGAAGAATTGAGCAATTCAGAATTAAACTTTATTTTCAAATTCAAATTTGAAAATTTGAAATTTTGGTAGTAAAACAGAAAAAGAAAAATATATTTGAAGGTCATTTATCGAAAAATTTTATTGATTTCAGTTAAAAATGACATCATTTTAATAGAATAATTTGAGAAGGATAAACTTTTTTTTCAACTTCGCCCTTTTACTCTTTTTGCTTACTTACTTTTTGTGAGCTTAATTTATGCTTAAAGAATTACTTTCCGTTTTCTTAGACTAGACTAATCTATTTTCTAGGGAAGATATTAACCTAGAAATTAACTTATGTCTCAGACTTATGAAAAAGTGATTAAAAAGTAACAATAACATAGCACACATTTATACTATTCTAGTATTTAATTGAAAAGTAATTAACTTTACTTAAATAACTGCTTTGTCTTTCAATTAATGTTTCACATGAAATAATAAGTATTAATAAATAAGTAATTAAGTGAATAAATAACTGACTTACTTTAATACTTGGCATGAGACAACTTTATTTACTTTTACTTGACTTGACTGCTCGTAAAATGTATAACGACCTAAATGAAGTATAGTAAAGCATTATTCGTTTACTTTTTTACGTGATTATTTACTTTCCAAAGAGAAATAAAGTAATGCTAATCTGAAGTAATATTTAATCTGAATGACCTTTACTTTCTTCAAGTACGAAATTTTCCCATTACATTCCATCAAATATCTAAAGTAAAAACTTGATGAAGGTAAAAGATTTTCTGCTGGGAAAAGTGTTGCTGTGGTTTGATTGCACGACTAGAATATTTTGCGTTGAAAAAAATTTCCATCTTTTTTATTTTATTTATTTTTTATTATACTTATTTTAAATTTAATTTTTCGCATTAATTTATAATTAATTTATTTTTTACATACTTTAATTATTTTTTGGGTTATTCTCTAAATAAATTGTCATCATTTTTTGTCAATTTTAAAATTACATCAAAATAAATTCTATTAAAAAATATACTCAAATAAAGCTGTTAATAATTTTTATCATATTATCATAAAACTAAATTTCAATATTTTTTTTAGATTTACTGAATAGTTTTAAATTTTCAGCTATAAAAATTAATTTTTGAAAAATAAATTAAAGTCATAAAGTTATTAAGTTTATTGAAAAAGTGATTGCTTGATGGATTAATCGGTGTGTTTTAATAAAATTTATCAGTAGGTACTGTATCGGACGATTTAGTTCGCCCGTAAGGTACAAAATATTTTTATTTGTAAAAAATTATTACACTTTCTTGCGATCACTTTTTACACTTTTTAAGTTTTTTGAGTCTATTTTTCTATATTTTTTCTTCTTCTTGCTCTTACACTAAATCCACCCTTTTTTAATACTAACTAAACTGTAGTCAGATTTTTAAAACATTGCGTACTTTATTCAAAACATTTTTTGAAAGCATTTTTATGCATTTTTTGTCATCACAATGGTATGCAAGTATAGTGTAGATAGGCTTGTGCATGATTTGATTTCTGCTTCAGAAATCTCAGAGCACATCTACTCCTTGCCAAGCAATGTCTTCTGAAAGTTTCAGTATTTCAGCTCTTATTAATCTCTTAATTGCTAATATAAAGTTTACTTCTAAAATCCGACGTCTAATATAACAAAAAAGCTAAAGTCTGTGCAATTTTCATAAATATGTAAATTAAACAAAAAGTATGTAAGTTAAAAATAAAATTAAATGAATTAAACTCATATTAAATATATTAAAAATGTAATTATGCAAATTTTATCAATTAAAATGAAATTTAGCAAAAGAGAATTATCACTTTTTGTTAGTTTTCTTCAATAAATTCTTGTTTTAGGCTTGTAAAATTACATCGAAATTAAGTTTTTTCCGTGTAAATTATCAATTACTTAGTGTAAACATTTCTGTGTTTTAAAATTCTCATTTCTTTTAATACTAATTAAAATATTTTTAATAATAAGCAAATTTACAAAATTGACTTATGACATGAACTAAAATAATACTTAAAGTAAAGTTTTTGTTGCGTTAATTATATATATTTAAAGTAAATCTAAGAATGCGATATGATTCACAAAAGTATTTAGTGAAAGTGGTCTGAAACTGCTAAAAATTTTTTCAAATTTTCCGCTGATTTATTTATGAATATTCAAATATTTTTACACTTACCCGCAAATAATTTTATACACTTTTACTTATTCAAAATGCAAAATTTGTTAAGAATCTTAAAAAAGTGCCGTAGAGTGTAATGTAGGCGAGATTGAGAATGCAATTTGGTATAAGTATGCAAATTTCCCACTAATATTTGCTCAAGAAAAAGAATTATCATTTCTGCTTGAAAAATACACGCAAGAATATTGTTTATTCTTTTTGTAAACTAATTGCTATAAGTATAAAATTATATACTTTAAGTTCTTTTGTTTATCGATTTCAGATATAAAAGTAACACTTACTTTACTTTTCATACTTCATGTATTCAAATTATACGAGTTATTTATTTCACTTGAAACAGATCTCAAACAGTAATTCATGATTAGTTCTTGTACATGCTTAGATCATATCAGTTTTTTGAGTTGATTTGAAATATGACCTTTACGATATTGATTTTTGCATCGGTAAAAAATGCAAACGATTTATCGACTATTGATGTAACAGGAATGTTTAAAGTGCGCGGGCAATTCCTTTGCATAATTTTAGGATGCGTTTATTTTATTTTTTTCCACATTTCTTGCATGTCTGATGTAACCCATCTTATTCCACTTCAGATCACTTAACTAGATCGATTTTATAGCATTCAGCTAACTTCATTTAGATCATTTTAAACATCAGCTTAACTGACCTAATTTACCGTGTCTCCGTTGTCTGTCTAACACTATTTTCTAACTTATAGGTCATATTATGTTTCAGGTCACAATTGACATAATCTCTTTTCTTTCCAAGCCACTCTATGTTTAACCTCTGACCCTCTTTAGTTGATATTCCTTCCATTATTTTAGTAGGTCTATTTCATATTTACCACTATGCAGACGTTGTTTCTTGCCTCTGTTTATTTACCACTAAAGTGCTTTTAGCAACTGATTTATTGATAATGTTTTGATGAACTTTCCAAGTACAATTCAAAAAATTAATCAATCAGTAATATTAAATTTAATCAATATATTAATTAATTAATCAATCGGTCAATCAATTAGTCAATGAATCGATATAATTTGATTTATGAAAATTTTGATAGATTGTTTACTACCAAAGTGTGCTATTTATCAGCCAAAAGTTTCAGCTTTTTCTCCCTTTGGAATAAATATATAATTGAAAAGGAACGCTAATACGAGCTAATCATTGCTCATTGCATCCATCCATTCTTGCCCTCACTTTCGTTAGCAAAATTTTCCGAATATATCGATTTTTATTCTTTTTATTTTTGTTTATTTTATCTTTTATTTATTTTTTGCCTAATCAATACTTTATATTGTTTACTTCATTAATCTACTAATTAAATTAATATAATACTTATTTCATTTTTATGCCAATTAATCTTTTAAAATGTTCACTGTTATTGAATGTATTTTTTGCACATTTTAAAAATTAATTACTTATTTGATTTGTGCTATATAAATAATTTGTTTTCATTAAACTTTTGAAAGATTACAATCAAAATTTTTAGAAATTTAATTATTTTTTAATGTATTTCATTTCTGATTTATTCAAGTAATAATTTACTTTATCATTATTACTTGTGTGATAAATATTTTATTTTAGACGATTGCTCATATATTTATTTACTTTATTAATTATTTTATATAATATTCTTTAATGCAGCCAACATAAATTAGCAAAGTAGAAAAAATCTTTTAATATTAATGATGTGAATTTTTGCTTGATACTGAAATTTTTGAATAAAAGTTGTGTTCATAATATTCTAAGGAATTAGCACCATTTATTGATATTTATTAAAGTCATAAAATCACTCTGATGATGATAATATCATTATTAATGTTATGTTATAGTTGACGACAACAATGATGATAATGCGCATATGAATTAAGTGAAAGTAATAATGAGATGAGCTATTAATAATGATAGGGTGATTGTTATCTGAAAGGATACTCTGATATTATCACTTCGTTATCACTTACACCACAAATATCACTAATTATGTTGTCGAATAATTTGTATTCAAATTAACTCCGGTTTTTCCTTTATAATGCTTACTTGCATCTTCAGTCATAGTCAGAAGTTAAAAGTCACGCAAGTATGTAGAAGGTCAAAGATATAAATTGACTGATAATTTTGAAGCTACTGTTAACATAGCATGAAGTACTAATAAAAACCACATCTTGTGTGATATGCAAATTTATAAGAGTTAAAATTATCTGAGTAAAGGCTAAATTAAGATTTATTCCTTCTATGAAATGAATTTAAAGTGATTTCGAATATTGTTTTGAGTTTTCAATGATTGTAATAAATTCAAATAATGCTGTTGGATAATTCTTAATAATAATAATAAGTATTAAGTTATTCAATATTAGTGAATGAGTAAGGATTTGCTTAATACTACTTATTGAACATCAATGCGTAGCAATTTCTCACCAAAATGATAATCTTTCATACTATTAGTTATTCGACTTTTTAAATTATTACCATTTTTAAATTATCAGTTACTGAGTATCACTGCAACTTAACTTATAAGAAAGACGTAGAATATTTTTGTTGTAAAAGTCAAAGTATACTTTTTGTAACTTTTTTTCATTACCTTTTTCAGCATTCGAATCTTAATAAATTGTAATAATTGTGATGTTTTTCAAGTCACGCATACGTAAATCGAAGTCTTGGTCTGCTCCTCCACATATTATTCGTCAAACGGTATACTTGATGTTTTTTCGTTTTTTATTTCTAAGTTTTTTTGTATTCTTCTGTTATTTCCCATGACTTCTTGCAATTCAGCTTCCAGTTTCTCAGTATTTTTTATTTTTTGTTACATTTTATCATTTTTGATCACTTTTTGATGTGACACGATGGAAATGTAAGCTACCGAAATGGACTGGACTTGTTTATATAATAATTTTTGCATACTTCATAAAAATATCTCTAATTTCGAAAAATTAATTTTTTGGTTGTAATTTTGACATTTTCTAAATGCTTAAAAGACTATTAGAGGAATGCATTTTACACGTAAATGTGTAAGTTTATGCGCTAATAATATTTTTGTTTCATATGAAATTTTAAAAAAATTAAACAATTTTATAGTTTAATTTTTTGAAATAGGTTTTTAAAAATTATAACCAATAGAGATAAAAAATAATCTTGTCTTAATTTTTTCATCGTTTACAGCGTCAGATTGAAGTACTTCATCAGTTTGATAACCGTGGAAATAGTTTGAATTCCTGTTCTACAGATATCATTTCAACAGATAATAACAGTAGTAATATACTAATTGGTTCTAATCCTCCAATATCACTATTAAATTTTGTCATCGGCGAATTAGTATGTGAATTTGCTTTTACAATTCCATAAGAATGATAATAATCATAACAGAATTGCAATTATAATCATTTACTATTTTTATTATTATTACTATTATTATTACTGCTATAGTTATTATTACTGTTATAATTATTAAAATATTATTACTGTCATAGAAACAATAAAGAACATGTCAATTTTAATGATTTTTCATACTGATATTATAAATTTTGACTTTTAAAAAATTTTTGAGCATTTTAAGGTTTATATTTTCTTCACACTTTCAGATTTTTTCAGGCCAAGTCATTCCTCTGTTCTCATTTTAATCTAATTTTATTATTTTTTAATAATTTACGTGAACAACAATTGTGTTGTCATTTGAAAAGTTTTCAGGTGAATACAGAACAAAATTACGTTCGGGAATTGCGATCTATCGTTGATTTTTATATTAGGCCATTTGAAGCAGTGCAAAATGAACACTATATAGGAGTTCAGTTTAAGGATCGAGCTGATATATTATTCGGAAATATTCCTGATTTGGTTAATTTTATTCTAATTATGAGAATTTATGTACAAAATTTTTAAAAAATTATCTATTTATATTGATCAGTTTTATTTATATTAATCAATTTTTATTCTATTTTAAACCAAATATTTTTGTTATTTGATCTCTCTCACATGTTCATTTTTTTAATGAATTATATGAATGTAAACATTATATATTTAGTTTTATGTAATCATAACTTTAGGCATTTTGAATCTGACAATAATTTAAATTCTTATCTAAAGCTAAAGGTAGAATTTGTAGTGATTCATGACTTAATGCAAAATCAAAACATGGTGAAAAAATGAATTCTTAAAATTTTTTAGCTAGATTTTCACAGCAACTATCTTCTTGCTGATTTTTTGAATGCTGGGAATTCAGTAACGGAAATCTGTCGATGTTTTCTGAATCACCGAAACAAATTTCTTCAACTTTATCACTTTTATTGTCAGAATAAGCCAATGAGTGAAGCAATACGACGAGAACAACCTGATGGAACGATCGCTAAATTTTTTGCGGTCAATTTTTGATTATGAAAAAATGATGATAATAAAATACTTTGTAAATATAACTTCTTAGAATTAAGTAAGTACGGAACAATAACCAACCAAAATGAGCCATGAACTATAAATGTTAACTGCTTTAGATTTAAATAAAGTTATAATTTAAATTTTAAGAGTTGTAATTTGAGAATACCACGTCAAAATTTAAAAATTTCATGCTAAAAACCGAAGAAATTATGAGGAAAACAAAGTGACTATGAAAGTATGTCTAAAAAGCAAAAATTATGATTGTTTGTTCTACTTGTTGATTTCAGTTTTTTGAAAAAAACTAATTATCAGGTTTTGATTTCACAGTTCTCAAAAATAACAAAGTCTTTTAATAATTAAATATATTTAGGAATGCCAAAAACGAGCTGGACATCCTTTGCCTCTGAGTGCTTACTTATTAAAGCCTGTGCAAAGAATCACAAAATATCAACTATTACTTAAAGTAACTTTGTTTTATTATTTTTGTACTGTTTAGGGGCGGAAAAAATATTCTCTGTTCCGTTTAATTTTTTTTTCATCTGACATTTTTACTTTCTGAATAAATTCAAGTTGAATCACGTTTGACTTTAAAATTAGTAATGGCTTATTTTCAAATGTTTGTCATACGTAACCGTGTTTCAAGTCGCTTCAGGAGTTGCATCGTCACTGTGATGATCACTTGAGATCTCACGTGGATGAAGCCCTTACATCAATGCTTAGTCTACTAGCTCAGCTAAATACAGCCATGCATCAGTTGCATATTTCTGGTTTTTTGGTAATTTTTTACTCACTGAGTATCATAGCGATCGATTCTTTACTTTAGTAGTTAAATTATTTGGTGTAAATTATACTAATTAAAATCGAAAAGTATAAATTTAAATTTTGCAATAAATTCTTTTCATTTTAAATTTATGAACAAAGTATATTGAGTAAAATATATTTAAAAAGCAGAGAAACGTAACAAAGTGTAATTTAAGGCACTAATATTAAAAATTAAGCAAGCAAAAAAGTTGTTCTCTTTACAGTCAGATCCACGTACAGTTGAAATTCTCAGTCAAAGTAGTTAATAATTTTGTTTCCGAGAAACTGCAAGTTTGGTAATTTCAGGGTGATATCTCTCAAATGGGTCCTTTAAGACTTCAAAATGAATGTGATATTTATGCCTTCAAAAAAAAAAATCGTCGTCTAAACAAAGTACAACGTCGACATCTTTTCCTTTTTGATGGTGGTTTAATGTTTTGTAAGAAGCGATCACAACCTTTACCTTATGGTTCTGAATATTACGAGTATAAGTTATCAATACCAGTAAGTTATTTCTTCTTAATTGATGTTATCAATGAGCATTGATAAGTTATATCAGTATTGATACGATTATTAATCGCTAGCAGATGTTGTAGCGTGTTGATTTTAGACTTGTAGTTTGGGTTTTTCGGAAACATCAAAAACTTCTTCGATACGTTTTGAAGTGTGGGATGAGACAAGAAGTGAAGCGTTTGTTGTACAACCCATTGATGAATCTGTGCGGATAAGATGGATACAACGACTGTACAGGTGGTTACTTCATATCATTTACTTTCTAGATTATTATCACGTAATACTCACGTTAATTTCAATTCACTTCGTATGTAAGTATTCTTATTCAGCGTATTAAATCAAAAATTTTAATTTTTTACATATTTCACTAATTTTTTGTGCATAACTAGAGAAAATTTATGCATATTTTAAATTTCAAAATTACTACTCAGTAGAATCTATATGTAATTCAATTTTTCCTTTGAAAAGTTAAAAAAGTTTAAATGCATAGGTTGAACTGCATGATATTTTTAGGTAAACTAAGCACAGTAAAAGCTGTAATAATTTTAGGATAGTTGGTGAACGTATAATAGCAAATAGTGACAAATTAAGTCAACAGCATCGACCACCGCGTCCACAATCTTGGGCTTCCACAGTATCTAATGATAGTATCCGTTCAACTGATACAACTACCGACAGGTTATTACTCAACTTCTAGTTGATAATAATCAACAATTCATGATGTTTAGATATTGCTTGAGTACTTTTAATGCAAGTAATTAAGTTATGAATGCAGGTTAGTTGTGTTCACTATCTAATTACTCGAATTAGCAATATTTTGATGGATTTTTAATAATTGCTTTTTTTGGGGGACTGATATGATTATTTTTGCTTTTGCATATTGTGAGTCTTCAGAATGTGCCTCGTAACATTTTGGAGTATCTCAATTGTCTTACTGTTATTTAAGTTAGTTCTTCTATGCGTTTCATTATGATTTATTTTGGATTTCAATTGTTTAATTTTGCTGTTTCTTACTTAGTTTTTAATTTATGTTCTTTATTTTATGTCAGTTTATGTCTTGAAGCTAAAATTCAAGATATTAATTATAAAGCAGAATCATTATAAAGCTTCATATACGATATTAATGACGAAAGTGGTATTTCTATGTATCCGTAAAACCTACTGATCTATGTTCAAAGTACAGAAGCATATTTCAGCACTGTATTTCTAAGTACTTCAAGTTAATAGATGCAGTAATAATTTTACTACCATAATGGTGAAGTACTGATTACAGCAGTGTAATGGATGGAAATGGGAATAATCATGGTGGTGCATGTTGTTCTTCACATTCTTCTGGATCACCAACATTTGTTCCCGTTTCACCAGACGATGATTCAGAAAATAATGTGAATCCTGTCGTCAGTCAACATATACGATCCTACAGCTGTTCAGAGGTTTGTATAATATTTTGATATGCTATCAAATACATTTCCGTGATTATTTAAACTCATGAAATTTAGTCGATAGCTGCATTTGATCTAGAAGTGATAAAATTAAAGTACTTTTTTATAAAAATTGAAATATCTACTGCAAAATGAATATACATGCTGATTATTTCAGAATTGTCTTGACGGATTGTCATTATCATCAACATCGTCTCCAGGAGCATTGATATCATCATCAACAACAACACCACCATCAGGAGTAGCATCAATTGCTAAAGCAATTACAGCAACTACACCACTGAATACTATTGTTGAAAGTACTTCATCTACAGAACTTTTTGCAGCTATTTGAGCTGCTCTTTGTTTTACTTTGTGTATAATAGTTGATATTCGTTTAGAGTTAGTAATAGTTACTCATTTAAAAATCAAGTCCAAGTCTTTGACAAGAATAATCTATACTTTGCTAAAAAATGTCTTTACTTTCGCAAATTAAAAAAAATGCTTTGTTTTTAAATACTTTTACAGTAATGAGCAGTACTAAATAGTAGTGAGTAGCAGAAGCAATCTAGCCATAATGATAACACTGATTGAATTGAAAAATTGTGCTCACAAATTATGTTTAGATTTTTATTGCAAAAGTTTGTCTCTCATACAATAACTATATTACTGTATGCATCGCTTTACTGTATAATAATTAATTATTATAAAGTTTTCATCTATTTATTCACTGATTTTCGGTGACTTTGTGGTTACTTTTTCATTCCTCTCATTGCTACATTTGCTGCATTCCTCACTGTGTCATGTTTTTAATATTTAAATTTTCAATATGCATAGTTCTGTTGTTTATATTTTCTGCTATATATATATCACTATGCCACTATCATTATTATTATTATTATTATTATTATTATTATTATTATTATTTCATTTATGTTATTATTATTATTATTATTATTACTATTATTATTATTATTATTATCTGTTATCACTATTTTTCAATGCGTTATCATTGTATTATAAGGTGTAAATGAGATGAACAACTTATTGAAATACTTTTGCAGTAACTATTCATTTGTGATGCATTAGGTAGTATTTTACTGACATGACATCGCAAAAATTTGTCGACATGTTGAGTATGTGTCCAGCAAAAAATATTACTCAGATTATTACTGAGATTCAACAATTAAAAATTTTTCTACGATTAGCTAAATTTTCAATTAATATGTCATAGGTAAGAAATTACAAAGGTTCTTGTAAAACATGACTAAAAATCTCTCCAGAATGAAAAGCTTTTCCCTTCCTTTTTTTTCCATTTGTTGTATCCGACGTACTACGTGAAGTTCAGAAAATGACGGCTTGCAAAATTAGTGAAACCAAATCAAAATTGTTCTAATCATATGGGAGCATGCTCCGTAGTTACTTGGTCTTTTTTGAGATCTAACTTTTTCATAAATTTCATAGCATATTTGTGCTACTGATTCCACTTTACAATAACGTGTGTAAACAGCAAATTATTACGTTTACGTCTATTTTCTTGTTTAATGAGTTCTGCGGGTTTTTTCTACCCGAAATTTTCAATTCTAATATATTTCGGACAATGAATATTGCAACAGAACCAAAACTAACGTACGAGGAGGAACTTCGTTTTCTCAAGCTCGATAGGCATGTCTAATTGCTATTTCTGCCTTTTCAGATTCTCTGTTATCTTCTCTGCTTTACATATTTTCTACATTCATTGTTATATATGGTTTTTCACGACTTTTGATCATTTATTTTCATCTCTTGATACTTCTTATTTTAGTTTCAATTTCATCAATTTTTGGAATAAGAAGAACGAGATATCGCAAGCAGATAAAGTACTCCTGTATAAGGTTTTTAGATTCCATATTTTTGAAGATGGATAACATTGCAGTACTTTTAGAAAGCTTAATATTTATAGATAGATGACTAGTACTAGTGGGGAAGATGAGGGAGAGTACGTAATATAAACAAATAAACTTGGTTTGGAATAATAGTAATAACCACAGTTACTTTTGCATTTTCAGAGTATACGGTGCTTGGAAAATGAACTTATCAAACTTGTTGAAACGAAGGAAAAGGATGAGACAAAGCTTTACAAAGTTTATCTCAAGATTGGTCATATCAGCTTGTTAGCGAAAGATTTCCCCAAAGGTAGTCGTTTTTCATTTGTATATTTTTGAATAAAACTTAGAATATAAGTGTAATCAAATAAATTTAACAAAATTGTACTCACTACTTGCTGCTCATAATATATAAACAGTTGCTACGTGAACCTATTACATGATGTCCCAAGTTTTTGTACTTTAATATCACAAATTACTGCTTTAAAATACAAAAAACACATACATTGCATATGTAGTTAATTTTTTAGCCTTATCTGCCTATCAAAAAGCATATAATATGGATAAAAATGGATTCTGGAAAAAACCAGCGTCTTACTTTGGTCTTGGAATGGTTTATTTCCACTTCAAAGCATTTGCAGTGTAAGCATTCCAGCATTTTTCCATGTTTGAAAGATATTAGTTTCCGGAAATAAAAAGTGAACGAATCAACTTATTTAATTTTAATTTTTCTAATGCTCCAATATTCTCGGGTTTTGAAACCTACAAGATTCTTTACTCTTGGAGTTTCACGAATAAATTATGAAAAAGCTGCATACATTATTGCCCAGGAATGCTAGTAGAAATATTAGTAATAATTATTTCAGTTTTTTGAAGTGTCCATCTAATATTTCAAAGAAAAGTTAGTAACTAGAGCTTCGTTCCTGAATTTGCGTTCTAAATTCATTTTCTCTCTTGCTGTCGTTCACTCGATTTCTGCGCAGAATGTCTTAGCGTTACATTTTAATATCTGAAATTAAAGTTTTTTTGGATAAGAAGATAAAGGCATGAGTTTGTGGTAGCAATTTTGATAATCGTAAAAAGACAAAAATGATTTAAAATAATACTTGAAAAAAATCAAAAAATTTTGGAACTAGATAATAGATGGTTGGTTAATATTTTTTATTGGATTCTATATATTTACAGCTGTTGAGTAGAGGTTGGAAATTTAAATGTAAAATTAAAGTGTTGTCTATACTCATACTGTTACTAAAAGATGTAACAGCAGATGGTCAGCGGTAGCAGACTAAACTTGACGGGTTCTCTCTGACCTTTCATCCGCCCCTTCTCTTCCTTCTTCCATACTACACCATCTTTTCCACTGCTGATTCCATCTTTTTTCCATCATTTTTTATATTGCTTGGTAGGATTTTCTCACACGCATTTGCATAATATCTCATTCTGCTTTTGCTGTCTCATTTTGACTGCAGACTAGTCAGTAATCAATAGCCTAGGTTGTTTACTCATTGGTCTTCTCCGTTTCATTTGAGAGTGCCCAACATACGAAATGGTCACTGGTTAGTGAATCAGGTCGTAGTGAATAAGTGACCTTCGCTGTCTAATCTTTGACCCCACAAAATCATCCACCGTCATTTTAAGCATTTCTCATCTTACTCATTCACATTCATGCCTAGGTTTTGGTCACCATCACTAGTACTTTTCGTTACTTTGGTCATCAGTACTTTTCGATGAGATAGGAATTTTACTTTTTTGATTATTTTCAAATATTAATTAATTGTGAGCAGTTGTCGCTAAAATATTGAAATGCTGTCATGAATTTTAAGAATAAATCAATTATTCTCGATATTATCTGCATGAGACGAGATTTAGTGTTCAGGGAATCTTTCTGTCGTGTAATTATAGCTAAATTTCAATCTGTTTTTGTAGAAATTTTTCCTAAATGACTTCATAATAAAGTAAATACATACTTTTGGTCTCACAATGTGTCAAATTTCCCTCGAAAAATATTTTGTTTGCAAAACTATCAGTGGTCATTATCGCTCTAGTAACCGTAAAAAATCATGAGAAAAAAACTGAATAATTATTAAATATCTTTCCCATGATTCATTTCAAACCCACTATGATACCTAACTTACAGGAAGTGAGTAGGTGGTGCTGAATTGTGGCTGATTCTTCTTATTTCGGTATTAGTACTGAGAACCATGCATATGTAGGTTAAGAATATTCTAGTAGAGTCCTGGTCGAGTTTGCGAAAGAGAAAACATGAATTTTAGGTGTGGCGCGGATTTATTGTCATAATCACTTCTGTGCTTTTCAATTTCCATCCTAAAAATTTTAGCTTCATTTTCAATGTAGCATAATTGTTTTAGAGCATGATATCTATTTTGTGTTTTATTCTCTAAGATTCTGAAGCATTTACAGAGGTTTAATTTTTTCACTTTTATCTAAACTTTGTTGTTGATTGTTTTATGCTGGTGTATACTTTTTACCTATTTTGTCACGTATATTTTTGTGATCCAAATCTTACTTATTTTTGCTTTATTTTAGTGCTGGAGAGGCGTTTCACCGTGTTATTTATTCACATCCAAATCACGAGTTAACGGTTGAAATATATTCTAGATTGGGATTCATTTACAAAAATTTGGAATTTTTCGAACTTGCAATCAAGGTTATTTCGCTGTTTCCTGTACTTTATCAAACTTATGCAGAATCTTATTATGTGATTCGTGCATTGACCACTTATTCTTAATCCTTGTGCGAAATTATTTCCGAATTATGTTTTAAAAAGAGTTTACTAGTGCAAAAATTTAAACTTACTCAGAATGCTGTTTAGTCTCCAAAAATTTTTTATATAGTAAAGTGATAGGATGAATCAAATTTGGTAAGATTTTGTGCTTCCTTTTAATTTTCATACCATTACATCATCACTTTAAATACTGTTGCAGATCATCCATCATTTATTTGTTGAGTTTATGAAAAATGCGAAAGGTCACAAAATTTGTTGAGAATAAATGAATTATTATTTTGATTATTAAGGCAGTCAAGTTTAGTTGGTTAGAAAATTAGCAATTGGATCGTTTAGGCTTTTCATCTCTTACTTATTGCATTACTATTCGAATAACAATTGTTAGATAGATAGCGGTTTAGTTTTTTTATTGCATTTAAATTTTGATTGTTTCTGAATTTTATTCATTATTTCCGGAATTGTAAATGATGGTTGCAAATACTGAAGGAGTTTTTTATTTAGATCAATGAAAAATGAATTAAGATGTGAAAAAAAACTTAAAAACGTATTTTTATTAAGTATTTTGAGAGTGTGTTATCCGGGTCTATCTTCTATCTTTGCAGTACAATTGCTCTGTATTTATTACTAATTCAGTGGGTGAAAAGTGTTTTATACACGTACTTTGTGTAAAATGGTAGTAGTGTTGTTGTTTTTTTATTAAGAGGGACTTTTGTTAATTTTTTCTTTTTCATAATTGAAAGTGTCAGAAAACGAATATCATTTTTTGCAAATATTACTGTGCTTTGTTCAGATAGTCTTGTTTGCAGTTTCTTTTAGTCAAATGTCAACAGACTGAGTGATTTTTGAATATCTATTGCAGCACTTTTCGGTGGCACTGAACGATAGTCGTGAAAGCACATTCCTGACGAAGGTTGAATTGCGTTTTAACATAGCTCATTGTTACGACATCGCAGGTGACCTTGATCGTGCGGCAATCGAATATCGAGCAATCTTAACTGACCAAACGCTTCACTTGTCAAATAGTCTGCAAGCGCACATCTTGCGCCAACTTGGTAATTATTCGCCCTTCTATTCTTTTTGTTTGCCTTCTTTTAGATTTATGTTGACTTTGTAGGCCAGATTATATTTGAAATGGTTTACTAAAATTATCATTAATTAGATATCAGATTTCTTCATTTATTTTAATGATAGGGCGAAACTTGTTTATTGAATTTTTTTTCAATTTTTAGCGATTAGTTAATTTTATGTTACAAGAAGCAATAATTGATTTTATTTCTCAGTGCTCTTATTATTAGGATTATAGTAACGATAGTAAATAGTGGAATGACATTTAAGAATTATTTGCGAGAGATGATCTTGATTTCTTCTGAGTACTACTGTTCTGGCAAGACCTTGAAATGAAACATTTGTCAGTAATATTTTCTAACAATAGTATAATTATGAGATGTTGGCAGTTTTTTACATTTTTCTAGTGGTAATTGTCATTCAGATTTTTGAACTATGTGAATATTTTTGATATATAAAGGTATACTTACTGTTGTAACTAATAAGCATTGAAATATTCTTAACGGCACTGTTTTTATCAGCAACTAATAAGCTTGTACTGATCTAGAATTTACATTTCACAGGTTGGTTGTGTTATCGTGAAGAAGGACCTCCATCGCAGCGACCACAAAAAATTTTTGAAGCGGAAAAGTATCTGCTTCAGAGTAAAGAGCTTGAACCTACCTGTGGTAAAACATACTATCACTTGGGACGTTGTTACGGAGAATTACAGGATAGAGCTCACGACGCATTTGTTCATTATAGGTAACTATTTATTTTCACTTGGCAACTTATTGTAAAAATTCTTGAGCTGCGAATGAAATTGTTTTGAACTATGTATACTTACGCTTTCCTTCGTGAAAGTAATTTTTATTATTTACTAATTTTGCTCAGACTATCTTATTGCTATTCAAGACATTTAACCATAAAAAATAATCAGTTTTTGAGTACTTTGCTAGTAAATTATTATTACCTAATTAGTTTCAGTAAGTGAGATTAAATAAAATCTATCAAAGATTGAATGGAATGTATTTGTCCTTGAAATTAAGCCTACTAAAATTATTTTTTTCTATTCTTATGCTTGCTTGGTCATTGAGATTTTCTTACTTCCTTTTCAGGCATTCTATTGATAAATCGGAAGCGGATGCAGATACGTGGTGTAGTATTGGTGTTTTATATCAGCAGCAAAGTCAACCGATGGATGCACTGCAGGTTTATCTATTAGATATGTACACCTTTGAAAAAAAAAGATAATGCAGATTGAAAAATTGTTTCAATTGCAAAAATAGATCTATCATTAAACTTCTTTCTTCCAGAAACGTGTTTAGGCTTTCAGTTGATATCGCTCGTGTCAATTTTTTAATATCTGATATTATGGGAAATAGTGATTCAGCAGTAATTTTACTTGAAATGCTCTCCTCTCCTCTTCTATTCTTTTGCTTTCAGGCATTTATCTGCGCTGTTCAATCAGATCGCGAGCACAGTGCAGCTTGGACTGATTTAGGGCGATTATATGAAGTCAATTGTCAATTTGCAGACGCACTTCACTGCTTTAAGAAAGCTTTAAAATGCGAACCAGGTAGTTTTGTGTTTGAAAATAAAGTCCTACTTTGAAAAATGTACTCTTGTAAAGTTTCTCCTCTAAAATTTTGACTAGTTTGAAGAAACCAGGAAGTTATTGTGTTTTCATTTCACTAAGTTTTCGTTTTTCCAAATTGAATTTACTAGATTTTTTAGCTGCGCCAGAAGCACTGAAAGCAAGAATACGTGTTCTTGAGAAGGAATTACATCCATCTTCTTTACTAATTGGAAATTTACGATCTTTACAACCGAACGAGTAATTTTTTCTAATTTCACTTGAAAAATAAGTCGAAATTTGCATTCATTATTTATAGCTTCACTCACTGTTTCAGACTACCAAGTCTTAACGAAGCTTGGAGATTATCTATTCCTGCTGAACTGAGTCAAAGACAAGAGGAATTTTTGAAAGTATGTCCTTTGTATCAGAAATACATGTGTTGCACACTTTCAAGCATTATTTCTTTCGTAAAGCAGAAATTGCATTTTCCAATGTTTTCATGTATTTTTCATGTTTTTGGTTCAATATTCCTTTTTAGCTTAAGCAGCAGCGTTATCGTGACGGCAGTTCATTGTTAAACACAACATTGACATTTCCGCAGGTACTCATATATTTTCATTCTTATAAGATCAAGCAAGCTAAAAATTTTGATGACATTTCTGTTGTCAATCTATATATTGTTTATTAGAATTAATTGTTCAACATATCTCTCAGTGCTGTCTTTGCAGAATCCAGTCGAACCATTGGAGCTGGAAATGGAATTAATGAATGCTCTGTATGAGAACAGAGCTGATATTACTGAACGTGAGTACATCTTACTAGAAAAGCTCGAGAGTAAATACGGAAAAGTAAGTTTCGTAATTTCGACTTTAAATGAAATGATCATTTTCATTGAACTCTGAATCTATCACTTGTAATATAAGCCTTTATATCTGAGCAACATTCGTGATTTGTCGAAACGCTGTCGTTTTTTAGGTAAATGAGAACAGCCCAGAATCAGGAATGGAAAAGGAAATCAAACAGGAGCTGAAAAGTGGTCATTATTAATATGCAGTCAAAAATCATTACTATTATAAGTCATGTTCGATCCTGAATAATATATAAAATCCGCTGGTTATGCTATTTTGTTTCAGACAATGCGATACCATGTACTTCCTCTATGAACTCATCTGAATCAATAGCAGGTGTCAAAAGTAAGGAAGCAATGAAGGAGCAAGTAAGATGACTGGAGTTTCTCTTCGCTTGTTGGAGCATTGCTGAAATTAGGCAGAAAATCATAAGAAATAAAAAAATTGCATCAGAATGATAGAATGTAGTTTCAGATGAAAAAAACCTTAGTATCACGATTACCATATTCTTTTTCTCTCACATCTGATGTTCGGGTTCCTCTTACAATTACTTCATCTGAACTTATGAATCGATGCAATAAACGGGTTGATAAACCATCAGAATTTGTTGAAATATTTGATGAGCGAGTGAAGCCTCCAACATTGCCACAAGCACCAAAAGTGGCAACATCATCTGAAAAAGTATGCATCATTTTTTTTTTTTGCTTAAGTCTTTTCGGATTTTTGAACATATGTTTCATGATAGGATTATCATAGTATCATTTTCTTTTGTTAACAGAAATTGTCATATACTGTTTTCAGTCATTAAAACCAACACCTGTGATAATTGTGGAAACACGAAAAGAAGCTCATAGCATTGAGCTTCAGAATTATTGTTATAACGCTACAGTTGCATTAATTCGTGGATTAACACAAACATTGAAAATGGATCTATCATTATTCTCTACCAAGTCATTACTAGAAATTGCACCGAATCATGAGGTATGAATTTGGACAGAACTTTCATATTTCAAATTAATTTTAATCTTGATCGCTGTGCTTTTATTTGTTCAAGTTTCGCAGTTCTCATGTTTGAATGGATTATATAAAGTTTACTTTGAAGCATCTTTTATTTTTGCATAGTTATTAGTAATATTCTTTTATGTTCTATATTGTATGTAAATAAAATATTGAAAACAACAGTCTGTTAAACATTTTAAACATTGATACCGCTATAGTGACTGTAGAAATCGTCATACCATGATCACAAAAGTTCAGATTTTTTTTAATTCAATATTTCACTCTCCATTTAACGTAAATTGGAAGTATAATTAAAAGTTTTTGTTAAAAAAATTTATATGTAATTCTCATTTTAACTCATAAATGCTCACATTATTTCATCTCTTACTATATATTGGTTCAATTAGCTTCCATTTTCACATACTGCGAAATTCATTCTTCAGTACTTGCTGAGTTTTAGGTTGAAATACGGTCGCAGTATAGAATGCTTCCTGATCAAAATCTCGATCATCTTGGGCAGCCAACATGGGTATGCCATAGTACACGTTCTTATACAACTATTGCAAATTACGCTCAGTACCAAGCTCAGTCATTTCAGTATAGTTTAAAGGTAATTTTATATGCTAATTTTTTAGTGGGATGGGACTCTAATTTTTATTTTCAAGAGTGCGTAGCATGTATTGATTTTAAAATCTAAATTATTATTCTCGGTTTTTTATATGAAATTTGTCATTTGACTTCCATCCATCTCAGTAATCTTTTAATTTTTTAGCTATCATTATAAAGCATATCAAGGTAAAATCCAATTTTTATTGCGTTATTCAACTGAATTTGAGATTGACAGTTTTAATCTTAATAAGAAAGGGATTTGATTCATATTCAGGAAGAAGCTGAGAAACTTCGTGCAGCAAGTGCAAAATATGGTGGTCCTGTAGATGTAAATAATGGTCCATCAAAACGCCGACGAGCCACATTACCTGAAGAATCTCAAATGCCAATGAAATTGATCAAATTTGGAACAAATGTTGATCTTTCAGACGAAATAAAGTTTAAGTAAGTAAAGAATTCAATTTATTCTACAAAATTTAGTGGAAATTCGGATTTTAATTTTATTATTGTTTTCCTTTTTATTATTTACGTACTTTTGTTTAACTTTCATCGAAGTGTTAAAAAATATATGCTGAATCAAGGCTGGAATCTGTTGCTTAATTGTATAAAGAAAATGCTTTAGATTGCAATTAACAGAATTAAATAAGATGCCGGCGTTTGCTAGGCTGGTCGCTGCATGCAATATGTTGACTCATTTAGAGCATACAGTTTATGGTATGAATACCGTTCAAATGTATATGAAGGTATTTTGATTCTGTTTTTAAGCAAGTTTTCGTGTCCTCAATTTAAAGCTGACTATCGTAGACTTATTAATGGATGGATGTAGGTAAGTCATTAACAAAATTTGAATAGTAGTATGTAACAAACTGAGAACTGCTTGTATACATTTTTAGAAATTGGTTACTTGGAAAATTTTTTATTTCTATGGCCCTGAAATATTTTTTTTGCAATTTCAAGGTACCGGGTGCGCGTACTCCTGGGCATGTTGAAAACAATTGTTTGGCTTCAGTGAATATTAATATTGGTCCTGGTGATTGTGAATGGTTTTGTGTTCCATACAAGTATTGGGCTGTAGTCAATGACATCGTTGAGAAGTATATTTTGACATTTAGATCTTAGTTTTTGGTACCAAAATTTACAATTGATAGCTATCATCTAATTCCGTAGTGTTTTTATTATTTTTAGAATTTGTAATTTCATTATTTTTTAGTTATTTTTTTAGTCTTCGTTAAGCATTCAAGTTCAGATTATGAAAAAAAGACAAATGATGTGAATACGGTTGTTTTTTATAACTCAGTAATTTAATATAGTAAGTTGGTTAATGTGCAATTCTAATTTTCAGGCATAAACTGAATTTTTTGAAAGGTTCATGGTGGCCAGATGTCGACGAATTACTCGAAGCAAATGTACCATTATATCGTTTCACTCAGAAAGCGGGTGACGTAGTTTGGGTAGGCAGTGGATCTATTCATTGGGTGCATAGCACTGGATGGTGTAATAATGTAGCATGGAATGTCGGACCTCCAATACCTCTCCAATATGAGATGGCTGTTCATTGTCACGAATGGAATAAATTGAATGTAATTTTCACTCTCTTTCAAAATTATTTGAATATTTTTATGATATAGATATTGGTTCACTTTTATTGGAAATGTTTTGATACTTTCTTCTTAATAATACTGCAGTAAGGTATCACAGTACAAGTTCTTTTAGGGTTATAAGTCATTGGTACCAATGCAGCATTTAAGCTGGCAGCTAGCTCGGAATATACGTTTTTCAAATCAGCGGATGTTTGCATTAATTAAGCAAATGCTTATACGATCACTGGCTTACAGTAAAATGGTATGTGATATGTTATGTGCCGATGAAAAACCCATTCGAATGCATCCAAGACATAAAGGCGAAGTGTCTCATTATTGTTTCACTTGTGAGGTCAGTTTTTTATAGCAAATGTGTTTCAAATGAAAAATGCTGCAGAAATATATAATATTTCTGTTTACGCTAATGGGAGAAAATACATCGCTAGATTTTAATTTCTATCATTTTTGAACAGTATTTGTCCAAATATTGATGTCATAGATTAATTATTTGCCAAGTAAGGTGGTTCTTTGTTCCATTCGTGAATTTAAAATACTAGTTTTGATTGGGAATCAGTTTGACATTCTTTTAATCTATCATTATATTAAAACATCCTTAAGTTGCATTTACTCAAACAAGAATTCTAAAACATTGTTTTGTAATTTTTTGGTGTATCAAAATTGGTTCATCATTCTCCAGATCGAAGTATGGAACATATTGTTTGTTCGTGAAGTGAATGGCAAGTTTCCCGTTTATTGTGTTCAATGTGCCCAAAAAGCAGATCTTGCTAACTTCACTGTTCTTCAACAATATACATTTGATGATCTTTGTAATGTTTTTGATCAGTTTCGCCTTTATCCGGTCAGTCAAATTTTAATTTATTTATAAACTTAAAATTTTGTTAATCTGTCCTCGCAGACGTTTAATCTAAAAGCGGATGTTACTGAGAAGTTAGTAAATTATAGATGAATTTGAAGTTTTCTAAAGTAGAGATGGAAAACTTTTATTTGTGTTATAACTCAGTGAGCATGCAGTTATAATTTTTGAGACTTTAATTTATTTAGAATCAAAGAATTATATGGTTCTTTTCAGCAAAACAAAGCTGCTGTTGTTTGTTGACTAAAACGATTTGTGTGCCTATTGGATGTCTTTCAACCATTTTGCCCTTGGTGATCTGTAGCTCACATTTATTACCGATTGCTGCCGTTGTTCTTAATTATTTTATCATAATATGAATTTAAAACTTCAGTTCTTTACTTATTCTCATCTGTATTCATTTTTCGTTATAATGTTTATTTGTATGGCTTTAAAAAATTTTAATTTTTAATCCTGCATGGGACTTCGTTTGCTTGATCTCACTGCATTTTAGTTTCTGAGATTCAGCGTAGTGTGAATTGTATTCATAATGTACTGAAATCAATTTTCAGGTTTTCCAAGCAATTTCTTTTTTCTTTTATGTGATATTTGCTTGCATGTGATATGTATTTTTTCTACTACGTAGTTAGTTGTGTGTGATACATCATTCAAATAATTTTTCGTTGAACTGTAATTTAGAAGAATGCAATTTCTACCTGAACTGTAATTATTCACTAGTATTGAACTTGAGGTAGTTTTATCATTTCAGTGTATTTATTATGTTGTTTGCAGTCGTCATTGTTGCAGGTTGTGTTAAATGCCGAACTATTTTTGTGCCGAATATGTACTAGAGCGAATTATTTTTCGCCAAGAACTTTAAAATTATAGCTGTTTTATAAATATTGTAATTAGGTGAAAAAATGTTGTAGTAAAAGCAATAATTCCATAAATCAAAGTGAATATTTCTTGAAATTTGAATTATTGTTGGTTTTTGATATCTACATGGTATATTGAGTGATGTTATTAAAATGATAAAAAGTATTATTGAAGGTATCTGATATAAAGTTTCTCTCAGTGGGTTTTGTGTTTTTTGGTACTTTCTCCAGTCTTGTGCCATGTTGCTTCAGTCTTCTGTGAACCTTGAGCTATCGCACCAAAGTAAGCAAGCGTGCTCACTGAAAAGCATCTGTATTAATTTTAGTTCTCTAAAAAAGTGTTTACCAGTAGACAGATTTTTGCTATTTTTATGGTTAGCATAAGATGAATCTCGAGGTTATTGTTCGTTGATACTTACAAATCTTATTGAATGTACAGGCAATAAAGTCTCTCAAATTTTCGGACATTGACTTATTCCTTTCTACTGGTTCATATTACTGAAAAAAGGTAGATTGTGGTATATGGGATTGTTTCTCACGTGGAGTTCGCTTGACTATGGAACAAAGACGGGAATTGTTCAGCGATGGTTCTTTGATATATATTCAAGTGATTGTAGTCATGACTATACTGGTAGTGGTGTTCAATGGTTTTAATAACTAGTAGTGGTGTTGGTGTTCAATGTAACAAACATCACTGATGATTAGATTCGGAATGGTTGACTTTATCAGTTTTGAATATTTTGATCTGACTGGGATAATCTCCAGAGATAATACTTGGGGTAAGTATTTGGAAGGATTGAGATTAATAAGATTTAAAGAATTCATTCGTCATTGAAATACTTGCAAAAATTTTTGAATGAATTTTGTTACGTAAATTATGCCGGATTAGCGTATTATAAAAATTGCATCTCTATAGGATCTATTTATTAATATATTTTATTTGTAAGTCAAAACGTGTAATAAACGAACTTGTTGAAGAATTAATAAATTTATGTATTTTTTGTCATAATTTTGCTTATTGATAAAAAATTCACTTTGATCAAAAATAATTGGATGTGTTCGGACAAATGGTTAGACTGACTGTTTACTTGTAAAATAGCTTTGACTTGAATCACGTTATTGTACTCCTTACCCAAGCGTTACTTTGTATTTAATCTCTTAACTTTCAACTTGTGGCATGGCAGCGTTTGTTGGAAGCTTTCGTACAATACAATAGTATGTATTATAATGTGAAGTACTATTTAATGTGAAGGTACTTTTATAATTACCATCTATACTTTCTGATTTATTTACACATTCACTTACTGACAACAGTATAAAATTTTCTACTTTCATTTTTTTAAACTTTTATTGAAAAAAGCACAGTTTACTATCACTCTGATGTAATTATTTCTGCGTAGTAATAATTATTAGTCATGTTTATTATTAAAAATTCATTTTTTTTGTTATATTTTGTTGTAATTCAGTATGTCGTGAAATGCAAATGATTTTTCCACACGTACGTGTAGTAAAGTTTTCGTTGATAGATGTACAACATTTACACGTGCAAAAGATTATATTCAGCAGTGATTAAGTAAGTCGCTGTGAAAGTGTATAAAATACCATTTATCATAAATGATCATTTTTATCAACGTGATAATGTTTAATACGTGTAATGGTATGATTGTTTTACATGTAAATTTATTAAAATATTAGAAATCAAGCTTTATACTACGCTTTTTTACACAACATTTGAAACGAATGAATTAAAACATTTATGACAATATGCCCAAGCGAGTAATCATTAATCTAGTTCACTTCATTTATTAGGTCAATAGATATGAACTCATGGATTAACTAATATGATCCACAATTAACTAATATGATCCATTCGCGGATTGTGATGTGAAAAGTAGATCACTGTGATGATTAGGATGAGATGAAGCATAGTAGACAACTAGTAAGTATAATTTGCATAAATATTATGAGTTTGGATTTAATGAGGAGGATAGGTATGAGTAATAACATACACAGGTGACCATAATAGTCCTTTCGTATGCATCTATTCCTGTTTGCAGTGCAGTGAGCGCGAATCACAATAATTGCGCGGATAACCTCCCGAAAACTTTTTCAATTTTCATTGATATTCAGCAAAATTACAATTTCTTCTTACCAAAGTAAACAGTTTGTTAGGTAAATAAATGTCAAAGTAAGTATGATCTCGCTTAGATTATCCTGTTAACATTCAAGTGATTAGAATTAAATTGAAGTAATTAAATATAACTCACGGTTAAAATAACTATTTCAAAGATATAATTAGTAATTATGTTTTTATTCGTAATAAATAATGAATGAATTAAGATGTTAGCAATAAAAATAAGTAAATTAAAAACTAACTTTTGTATAAATATTTTTGGGATTGTGTAATAGAAAATGTAAACTATTTTTCAACATAATTGAATTTTCAGGCGTAATTTACTGAAGAATAAGAATTTTACTAATTTATTTAATTTTTAAGAAACATTTAAAAAATAGTTTTTGTGGAAATATTTTATTATTACTGCTAAAACTATTATTATAACAATACTAGCAAAAATATAGTCATTTTATAACTATTATTGGTTATTAAAAGACAATAAATTACTTTACTCATGCAAATTTTATAGAATTTTTTAAGACGCTACCGAGCATTTAGAATAATCTCATTGTAGCCAAAATCCTTACTTTTATTTAGAATAATCTAATTATAGCCAGAATCTTTATCTAATTATAGCCAGAATCCTTAGTTTCCTTATAGCCAGAATCCTTCCTATTCGAATTTTAAATGTTTCTTGTAAATTGTTATTCACTATTAAAAGATAACTTTGATATTAAAAGTTATCTATCAATTGTTGACTTTATTATTATTTTCAATAACTAAATGAAATTTACATCGTTTTTAGCATTAAATCCATCTCATAATAACGCTGAAGCATTTAGTTTGATGTTTCGTTCAGAAAATAAACTTTGTCTTCATTAATTACTTCTTTAATACTTCACTTAACAATTATTCATATTTTATATATTATTTAAATATTTAATTGCTTCTTTTATAATCAGTGCGATGAATTCTAATATTGCTCACACTCTTGTCAATATTTAATGCACTGAAATTTTTCTGATTTAATCAAAGCAAATCGAAATTTTTTATCGCAATTCAATTTGTTTTAGTTGATAAGTCACAGTAATTAGCATTTGATTAAAATATCAATTTGTTTTTGTTGAATTATTACTAGCTCTATTAATTAGCATTTAGTAATTAAATAATTAATATCTAATTAATTTTGTTTTCTAGTGGTAAGTTTGGAATTTATACACGAATAAAAGTTTTGTATTTTCAAAATTATTGAAAATTTGACTTTGAATAACTTGTTTACAAGCTTTATCATTAATTTCAATAGTAAAAATTATTTCAGCGAGAAAGGTCAAAAATGTAAGGATAATAATTTTTTGAACTCAATAAAGGTGAAGTGTGCCATTTGTATGCACTGTATGGCATGTCCTTGGACGGTAAACCAATTTTGGCAATGGGCTTGCTTAAATTGTCAGATTTATAATCTAATATACAGATATACTTACTGTCGTTATTATTTTTGTTAATATTACTATTATTGTTGTCATTATCACTAATATGCTTACTGTTATTACGATTAATTATAATAATTACAATTATAGTAACAATTTTTTTGAACAGGAAGCATAACCTTGGTATTTAAAGCTGTTTTCAGGACCTCTTGCTTTATTTTCTGTAAAGTTTTGGTTTTAATAATATGATTTAAAATTTGTTCGCAAAAAGCTGTACTATTAATTTGTTATACATAAATGAATTCAAATTTGAAATGCATTTTGTGATTGAATAAAATTGCTACTAAACATTTAATATTAGCTCAATTTAGCAAAGATTATTCGTTATCAAATTATTTTATTAAGTATTTGAGTTAATCAATTTTTTGTTTTTTATAATAAAAAGCAATTCTAAAGTTAGATAATATACCAGAAAATTGGTCACTGAGAGATATAAAATTTGCACATATTCGTAAAAATATTTATTGTAAAATTTTTATTTTTATAAATTTTTAAATTTTTCTAATTTTTAACTAAAATTTTTTAATTATGTTTCAAGGTTTAAATTTTTTTGCTAAAAAAATAAAAGAAATAAAATTATGTTTCAGATTATTTGTTATGGCCTTGTGTGAACCAACTGGTTAATTACTGCTCAAAATTTTTTCAAAAAATGAATAAAAATTTTTATATTTTTATTATTCTGTTAAATTTACAATATACTGTAAGTACATTAGAAATAGCTTACCGTTCAGCTGAGTCTACAGTATCATACTTACAACAACACAGTTATCATCTCAATGGTATGTTATCATTTTATGGCTATTTTTTTCACAAATTATTCCTCTGTCTACATAATTGTTGATGTGATAATATCTGACATCTATGCATTACAGTAATTACCAGCAAGTTTTTAAGTTTTTCTAAAAATAACTTTAATTTGAAAATTTAAATCTTGTTCGTTTCATTATAATTTTCGCAAGAAATTTAAAGTTTATCCATAAAATTTATGATGTTTTGTTTTAATTGTAATTTCATACAAAAATTAGGTTTTTCATTTAAAAGTAATGCTCTTCACTTGCTACTTTTTGGTATTTTAAAATACTGCAAATTTCTTTAAAAATTGATAAAAATACCTTAAATGAAAAAATAAATTAATATTTTTGGAATAAAGATATCGAAATTCTTTTAAAGCAATCAGTCAAAAATTATAGAACTTTTAAATAATATTTTTGTTAGCTTACTTATATTATTTAAAGTTTATTGCTGTCATGGTTAGATTTTTGCTATTTTTTTGTGATATTAAATTTACTATTATTTTTCTGCCCATTGCATTTTTAAATTAATTTTAAATTAAATGACTTAAATATATATTTCCATTCATTCTTAGCTCAATAATAAGCCATCTTCAAGAGGTATTTTATATTTTTTGATTTAAATTTAGAGTAGGTTTTTCAAAATTTTGCCACAAATTGAAAAATTTATATTTACTGAAATAATAATTTTTAGTTTTGAAAAAGAATTTTTAAATATTTTTGAATTGATATTTTAGTTAAAAAGTTTTATTTTTCGTACCTGATAAAGATGTAATATTATGAAGTGAATTTGGAGAAAATCTGCGTAGTATCATAAATGACAATTTAAATTTTTTTGCAGTGCCAATAACTTGATCTTCCCACTCTCCGTGATAAATAATCACAATGATACAAAAAATCGGAATTTGAAATAAATAATTACAAAATTTTTATATTCAGTGAATTATACTGTTTTTTCTTGCATATCCCGCCTAATTTTGTTTAAAATTTGTTTGAAATGAAATAAGAAAATAACGTGGCAATGTCGTTTACCAAAAAATTGCTTTAATTTTTATGAGTAAATACCAAACGCAAATTTAAATAGTCGCATTTTAATTATGGAAATTTGAAAGAATAGTCTGATTTTATTAAAAGAAACCTTTGAGTTTATTGAAATAATTTTTTTAAACTGATATTAAGTATGCATTATTTTGCTGTAAATTAAATTATTCTAGAATATGCCTTTCTGGTATAGTAATAGCAAAGTCAAGTGATCTTTTAAGTACGAATTTTATTTTGACTTGAGATTGAATTTTTTAGCTTACATTTTAATGTCTCACTGGAATTTGGTGTATTCAATTTTGAGCAAAAAAGTATTTCAAATGTGAAATTTTAAAAAGCATAGTGATAATTTTGATAGTGACTCCAAGTTGCGATCAGCAGACAATCAAAGTAGTGCTGACCTTTAATGAAAATGACTGGCCCCAAGGTCAGTTTGAAGATTGGATCATCGTTGGTACCAATAATCGCGCTGAGTGTCGCTTGAAGGGTAATGGCGAGTTGCAGTATGTTATTGAACTTGCGGTTTTCAACGATCCGTGTGAAACGCAAATGGTATTTATATTATAAGTTAAAGGTCAAAATGAATTAAAGTATTAGCATCATCATATATTTGAGGAAGAAATTACAAATCATAACTTGACACTAGCATAAAATAATTAGAAAATTATATTATGTGAAATTTTTACTTTTCCACCTATCAGAATCAAGAATGACTGTTCTTGAACCGAAAAAAATCAAGTTTTGATCTGTGACACGACCTTTGGAAAGCTGATTGGAAAGAAATTAACATCATTAGTATAATAGGGAGAGATCAAGGTCACTGATCTACAAATAGATATAGTTAATTTGATCAAGGTTGTACAAGATGTTAATTAGTAAAAATTTTTATAGTTTGAATTCAAATCAAATCTTTGCTTGTAATCAAATTATTAAATATTCAAAATTGAAATTGTTCGTGAAATTCAAAAATAAAATATTTGGTTCAAAACTCTGAAAATATCTTTTTTTCCAATTCAATTCTTTCACATGGTTCAATTTTTGAGTAGAAAAAATTTTAAGATGAAAAATCTGGTTATTAATTACTGCCAGCAACGTAGTAACTATCAGAAAATTGGTTTACAATAATTACTGAGATCTTTTTCAGAAATGAAATGGAAATTTGACCAAAATTTGTCAAATTTTTTACTAAAAATTCAAAAATTGAGGTCATTTTTTATGAAAGTAAAACTCGACCTGTATAATTGACATCTAAATTAATTTATAAAGATTATTAAGAAGGACCGCGGTAATTTTTACAAATTAATTTTTCAACGCAAAGCATTAGTAATTTTGTAACGTGTAATTTTAATTTTCATGGAAATTAACTTTTTGGATAGTGAAAATAAAACATTTCAGGCAAATCGCAAAATAAAATAAATTAATAATTAAAAATAAAACTCAATATCAAAAAACAAAACTATACTTAAGCACATAATAAATAATGAAAAACAAAATATACTTTTACAAATAAAATTAGCCATTAAAAACTTACAAATTTTAATGGTAGCTGTAATAAATTTTGTATTTTTATGCAAAAAATGCAAAAATAAATGAAAATATTTAATTTTCCATTTTCAATTAAACAAATTAATTAATATAACTATTATTGTAATATAAATTTTGTTTACATTAAATAAGAATAAAACTTTGTAACAAAAATTAATTCAAAACAAAGTGATTAATCTGAAAGTAAGCAATTGCAGCCCTCAACAGGTGTATTCCAAAATCGAATTCGTATTGGAAAAAATCCGGCAATAATTTTATTTGGTGATAAAATGTACATAATAAAGTGTATTTATGGATTACCGGAAATCAGTCAACTTGATAATCCGTCCATTAAAACATCGTTCAACGCTGTTACCTTACCGTTTCTTTTTAATTACTTTTTTTAAAGCATTATTTATTTTTTATTTTTTTGGATTTTATAATAATTTTATAGCAAAAATTTTTCCTTTACGTATAGAATTATCCTTGCTCATTTTTCGACTTTTTTTGCTACAAAATAGTCAGTAATTATTAATTCAAAAAGATGATAAATTATAAGCAATAAATTTGTCATGATAAATACAATTAAATACGTGATTCATATTTTGCACTACTGATTTCTGAATTAATAAGTTACAGTACAATACTTTGATAATCAATGACAAATTTAGTAAATAAGTGAGTAATATTAGAAATTTATAATATCAGTAATTGATTATGTTGATAGTCAATAATCAAATTTAGTAAATGAGTAAGTAATACAAGAAATTTATAGTATCCAATTATATAATTAATATTTTGCATTAATGATTTCTAATTTAATAAATTACAGTACAACTATTGCTTCACTTTGATAATCAATAGTCAAATTTAGTAAATAAGTAAGTAATATTAAAAAATTATAATATCAGTAATGGATGATCAAAGCTGATAATAAATAATCCTTAATTGACGATTTGTATTGTTAAATTAATGCTGCTAATTTATCATTCAACAATTTCTCACACATTGTGAATTTCCAGCGATTTATCGGCAAATTCCGAGAAATCAGTAGAAAAAGTTGATGAATTACTTTTATCCGATCATCGAATGACAGAAATTGAAGAAAGCCAAACCTCAGAAGACTCTAAGAGAAATCCCGTGATTTCCTGGACAATTCTAGCAGTAGTTATGGGAGGATTATTCGTTATTATTTTTATTCTTATGCTTGCTTTCATTTGCTTTCGATGGAAAATGGAAGGACGGGAAAAAAGTCTTCACGCTGAAACTGTTACTTCTAATGGTTCGTTGTGCAATTTATATCAGAAATTAATTTTTGATAACAGAATTAAGACATATAAACTGAAATCTATTAATATTCAAAATCTGGATTGAAAAACTTAAAATAACAATTAATGTTTTAAATCTAAAAATTCATTTTAACTTAAAAATTCTAGCGAAAATAAGTTTCATTTTTTAATTAAAAAATGTCCGGCTTCATTATTTTGTAACATAAATCTGGAGGTGTTTGCTTATTATACATTAAAACATTTCTGTTTTTCTAATTAAAATGATTTTATGAACAGTATTTTTTTACTTAATATCATAATACTGAAAATGACTTTAATACTAAATTGCTTCATAGCTTAAATTCTTTTTCAAGTTTCAATAAGTTTATTAAATTTCAACTCATAAAGATAAAATTATTTCGAAGAAAGTAATAATTTTAGCACAAATAAAAATTGATGTTAGTGAATTTTTATTTTTTCTCTAAATATTGCAATCATAAAAGCATTATTTAATCCTCTGAAGTCTGAAATATTTTCAGCTCAAAACAGGTTTCTTAAATAACACCAAGTAAGATGTAATTACTGTCTAATTTTTTGTATTCTTTCGATTCTTTTCTGTAAAAACAGATTTCAACCTTGAAAATTTATCTAAATTTTTGTGCACTGAACATAACTTCAACGATTCAGTCTGTAAGTTAAATGTTTGTGTCAAAAGGTTAAAGTACACAATTTACAAATTATAATTTTTGAATAATTAATTCTTTCAAATTCGTTTGGAATAATTTTATTTTTTTTGTCTGATCAAATAATGGTCAATTATTTTAATTCCAATAGGAGATCAGATTTGATCCAGCAATATTCAATTGCTGATAGAAGTACAAAATGGTAGTCTGATTTTTTGAATGAAAAATCATCTCTTTTTTAATCGAAAAAGCTTTTAATATTCATTGCTAAATTCAATTTAATAAATAAAATTCAATAATTTCAATAAATTGAATATTCGAAAGCAGTTATTTAAATTCATTTTGCATAAATTTTCAAAATTTTAAATTAAATTAAAAACTTCAAAAGAAATTGCTAAATATGATTTGCAAGTACTCCTAAATTCCGCCAACTATTAAATGCTCATGTAAATTTGACACGACACAAATTCAATGAAATGTTGTTATAAAGACAATTCTGAGTTAACAATAAACATTTCTAAGAAATAAAACCATAATCATTTGGTCATTGATTATTTATTAAGTAATCAAATCAACTGATCCATTGATTGAGATCAATCAACCAATCTACTGATTAGGAAATCCAATCAACTGATTTAAGAGAAAAAATTAATGAAAATTTATTGAGATGCTAAACTTGATAATTTGATTTGCAGGTATTACAGTGAGTAAATTTGGTATTGGTGATTTGTGGTGGAATCACAAGAATGATATAAATTCAAGACAAATTTCTAGCCGGCAAGTAGCTAATGAAAGGTGTGATTTGATATGATTTTTATCTAAAAAGTTTTACATTTTATTTTTGATTTGGAAAGTTTATTATGATTTTATCTTTGAAATAATTTTAACAAAAATGATAAAATTTGATATTTTAATTTGTATGTATTCATTTAGGAATATGCTAATTAAATTTAATTAAGCTGATAATCATTTAGCAGTATAATACATAAAATAATATTCATCTCATTTTTTAAAAATATTTCAGCGAAAAAATTCGCGTGAATATTTGTTATTAAAATTAAACTTAACAATTTTTAAATTTTGACTTCTGCTACTTTGTTTTAGCTAAGTTTTTCAGATGTTCAGGAACGATTCAAAGTACAGTTCCGATGAGTTCATCGTTGTCATCTAAATCATCAACTGAATCTGGACGAACTTTACCGAATCCCCCTTCAACTACAAGCTTCTTGCCACAGAAGTCATCTATGACAGATTTTGGAAATAATGTTGATGCTAGTCAAGGCTTACCAAGAAGTTATTCAGAATGGAGAAATAAAATTTTGTCCAATATCCCAAACAAAATATCAAATAATAGTGTCAGTGTTTTATTAGTTATTTTGAGTTTTTTACATAAATATTTTTAATAAGAATTTAGGAAAATAAATAAATAACATTACGCTAGATCATAAAATTATACTTTTTTAATTTTTTCTAATAAATTTGACACAAAGTATTAAAAACAGCACTTTTGATATTCCATATTTAACTGATTTTAATTTTGAAATTCAAAAAATCAATTTTTTTAATAAATATTGCAGAATTATTGACAACAAAATGAAATTTGGCATAACAAAGTTTTCAATACTTTGTGTCAAATTTCTCAGACAAAATCTTTTCCCAATTTTTTAAATATATCTGTACATATCTCGAGTTAGAATTGGATTGTGATTCATTTTTCTGAAATTTTAATTGAAATATTTTGATTAATTTTTGAATAAAAAAAGTGACCTTGACCTTTATTAAAAGTTTGTGTATATCAAGTTTATTTATTTTGAAGAGTACTTAGCCTTAACATATTCGAGGTTGAATGCAAATGTATAGTCTCAAACTTTAAATACAAAAATTTGGATGAAGTTCATGAAAATATAAATTTAATATTTCGATGATCTATCGCATGTCTAAATATATTTCTAGGTATGTTTGGATAGATGCTCATCATTAAGAAGGCATAATTCAATAATTGCTGATAATCAACTTTCTGAAGTCCGGTCGATTACAGAAATTTATAGATCCGCAGAGACGACTGTCGTTGATGGCGGAGACACGTTATCACAATCAACTCTTGAAGGTTTCCAAATTAAAATTCAATTTATTTTAATTAATCTCATGAGAGGTACCTTAAAAACATTTACGTTAAAAATTGAATTGTGATTTGTTTTTTAACTTTTAGACAGCAAATAATAATTAATTAAGTTTGGGATTCGTAAAGTTTTTAATGTGATGAATGCTTTGTCAAGAATTCTAGGTGTATTGTGCTCTCCTCATTATCAAGAATCTAATCCTATCGTAGAAAACTTGATCAAATGCGTTGGCAAAATCCGAGGAATTGGTGCTCGGAAACTCACCGAACAGGAATTTGGTAAATATTATCTATCTACTACAAATCTTGTTCTTTCAAATTCTTGAAATAAAACTAATATTCAAACGTAAAAAATTATTATTGATTTGTTTAATCATCGTTTTTAGTAAATTATTAAAACATCTTATTATTGACTTATCAGTGTATTTTTTTATTGAATAACTTTTGCCCCTTGCATGTTTCATATTAAATTTTTTTAGCTAATTAGTTTTTTAACAAATCAATAACAATTATTTTATTTAAAAAAATAATTAATTTTATTAAATTACTGATACTATTCTAGTTTTCGGCATCAATTTTTCTTCATTACTAAAAATTAAATATTAATTTGAAATTGATATTCTAAATACTTAATCACTTCTTCATTTATTATCAACTTTTGATAGTATGCTGGAAACGAAAATATTCATTTATTTTTATTTTTATTTCTATTTTCTTGATTTAGTAAATATTACTTTAATTACTGTGTCGAATATTATAATCTTGTAATACCGTGTACAATATAATTTCCAACCACACATATATAAAATTGATTAATCAAAGTACCGAATAAATTATTTTTTTTAAATAAAATAATTGTTATTAGCGAAATAATTATTTCCGCTACCTTACAGTTTAGAAGAAATTATACAGTACTTGGTAGCTAATATGATATTCGCATCATATTGTATTTCTGATATTACCGTTACTTAACAGTACATCCTGGTATAGCTGTATTAAAATTGCATCTTATATGATACCTCTGCTTTTTATAGAATCGTCTCTGTTATTTGAACGCTATTTTTAATAACAATGAAATATGTCAAAAATTTTATACGTGAAATATATTCAAAATAAGTTTTCAGTTACAATTATCAGTAATAATTTCGGTAGCTAACAGTGACTGCAGTAGAAGTAATACTCTTTTACATATTATTACGTGAAAATCATTGCAATATTCTGAGGATGTTTACAGTATTGAAGTAATTTTGGCTAATCTAGTATTTTTTTAGGTCGATGGCGTCGTCTAGTCATTTCTGATGCATCATTTTGTGAAGCACTCTCCCAATCACGTGGTATTGAACAAATAGAAAGCTTATGCTTTTCACGTGATTATAAAAAATTGTTCAGTAAAGAAAAATGGAATGCCATAATTCGTTGTATTGTGGAGAATCAGACTATCCTTCCATCAAAATATACCAAACGATGTGATTTACAACAGCGACAAGTAAAATTCAATCAAATTTTTTGTTGTCTTATTGGAATTTTTGATATTCAAAGAATTTGAGCAAAATAATATTAATTTAACAATAATTTTGTTAAGAAAAAGTTAAAAATTTAATTCTCTAGAAATGAAATACTAGAATTGATAAAAGTTAAGAGCTTACTGATCAGAAATTGATATTGGAAATGAAAATGAAATAAACAATTGCGGACGGATTGTAATTAATATTAATTGGTTAATAATTGAATTTTTTAAAATAAACTGTTATCTTTTTTATTTTATACTTTTAACACAGATGTAACTGTTATTGTACAAATTACTGTTAAATAAAAAATGATAGTGATAAGTGATAGCAGTCAATTCGGAAAGCTGATAACCTCTGCAAATGATAGTCTTTGATTGCTTTGTGCTTTAATTTTCATTTTAGTGTATAATTTATACTCATAGATAAGTTTAGTCTAAAGATCGAACTAAACTTATACAATTTTTATTGTTCTGGTATTAATTATACACTCTAAATGAATGTTAATTACAGATTAATTTTTTCGATTTCCAATTTTTGTATGAAAAATTTAATCTTTTTATATTTATTAAAAGTAAGCGGAATATTTGTCTGAAATGATTTTATTTATAAAAATAACCAAATTATACAATCTTGTTTGCATAAAAATGAATGTTAGTGCTAAACTGATTAGTGATTATTTATCTGATAAAAAAGCTACAACTAAATGAATGGTTTTCGTAGCTCTCAAAGAAAAAATTTAGTATCATTTATTCACAATGGCAGTGATTAATTATTAATCTCAGTCTTCACTGCTTTTTCCTTTAAAATATTTCCACAAAATTGTAAGATTTACTTTCAATTTTTAATATTTTGTTCAGTTACTTTCGAAAATTCAAAATTTTATTTTTATTATTTTTTAATTATTTTCAAGTATTACTATCCATGACGTAATAAGTATGCATTAATTTTGCTTAATTATATCATTTTTATTTGAGTTATTATTTTCTTTTTTATGTTTATTTAATTAATTAATTAATTATAAAAATGTTTTGAGACAGTAAAATAGTAAAAATGTTTTAATCAATTTTTCTATTCAAAAGTTTGCTTATTTTAATGATAACACTACTGATAGCTCATAAAAAGATAACTATGATAAAAGACTACAATAATTCTTTGATAATTCTTTTGCTGACTACAAAATTTGCATTCTAAAAATAACTGATGAAAGGTAACATTTTTTAGGATATAGCGGCTTCTTCATTAAATGTTTACATTGGTGATGCTGGTTCCAGCGGTTGGTAGCATTTTTACAATTCACTCAAGACTGATATCTCAATTATGATTACAATATTAAGCTTTATTTTTAGAGTTTTGAAGTTAATTTCTGTTTAACTTTACAATCTAAACGTTTTATGCTAATTATGTTAATTTTGAAACTATATCTTGCTGTTATTATGCAACTTTTGAAGCCCTTTTTGTTAATTTCTATGTGAATAGCAAAATTTGCATATTTTTGCAAGCAAAAATCATTTAAAAATGTGCACAAATGTTTTTTTTTGATCAAATTTATTATGCATGCCATGTTTTATGTATGTTTAAATTTTATATGAAATATAAATTTTAAAAAAACTTTATTATTATTATGATATATTGATAGTCAGTCCTTTGTAAAAGCAAATATTGAACAAAAAGTATCCTAATAAAGTATAATAAATATATTAATATTATGTATTTGAGTTTTTTAATTAATGTTCGTTCATTTCTTTCAAAAATTCATCATTAAGGTTCATTTAAATAGCTTTTAAACGGAGCAGTAATATGAAATCATTATGATTTGATCATTAATATACCAAAATAATCAATCAATCAATAAACCATACTTAATTAATTGTAAGTAATGCTGATATTAATTAAACAATTACATTAATTTAATCAATCAACTACACATCTTTGCTCGATAAATTGATCAATCACTGATTGTAATTAAAATTTCTCAATTCAATAATTGTTCATATTTTGAATTTGGTATTCAAATTAGTTATTTATGCAAAAAAATTTCTGTATAAACTGAATTAATCCCACATATATTTGTATTGTTGATATCTTTTATGCGTGTAGAAAGTTTTATTTGCTAATTACGTTCTCTTTCAACTAAAAAGCCTCTACCAAGTAAACGTTTTCAAACTGATAATTTCGATTTCAATAAGTTTATCATTTCATGTATTCAGGTATTTTTGCAAAGTTTTAGAAAGTTTATTTGTATTTTTATCATATTTGTAAAGGATTGTTATTTGTGATGATAATTTTTAAGTGCTGGTAACTGATAAATTAATTCATGATAACTTTGATACAACATTTGAATCACTATCATGGTTATAATAACAGACGTATTATTTTTAGAAAATAATGTGAAATTCATTTTTTATATAAAAGTTTGCGTTGTAATTTACTTACATTCTATAAATATTTGTTAATGTACAACTATTTTACCTTTGAGATTTTCATTCCTTATAATTTTACATCATTTTAACGTAGTGATGACGTGAAAATCACTTACTTCGATTGACATAGATTCTGAATCTATGCATTTTCCATCTAAATTTATTTCCCAAACTGGTATGTATTAACTCACTTTTAGACTTCTTTAACTTGTATTGCATCTCATTTATTCCGATGGACTCTAATTCTTTACGGATTTAGCGATCAAAATATTGTTAGAAGAAATTGGGTCTTTTCAACGTATTTAAATAGGTGGTTATAGTATATATTTATTCTCATTTTCTAGAATTAGCAATTTTATTAGTAATAACTTATGTGTTTGTATGTAAATTTCAACCTTTTCACTTTATAAAGTAATAAATTCGACAAATTTGTTTAAATTCTGAAACTGTCTGTCAAAATTTAAGAATTCTACGCACTGCACTGCGTATCTCTTTCGAAAGTACGTCAATCATCGATGGAATCTGTGATCAAAAATCAGATCTGGAGGGAATATTTGACAGAATTTGCAGTTTCATCCAATTTCATCTTAAGAATAAAGCTCTGTGACTTAACAGTTTCCAAAAATTATGAATACATCTTTTTTCTTTAATATTTTTTATTCATTGAAAAGCTTACTAGAAGCTTTATTACGGCACCAAGCAAGAAGTTTTTATTTTTAAAATAGTGCAAAAGTGTTAGATACAAGTCACTTTTGTTTTCTTTACTTTCTTCCTGACCTTCTCGAGCTTTTTGACCTCAAACTTTCCGATCGATTTTGTGAATTTTTATTTCAATAACTATATCATTTTTCACTACCAAAATTTTTTAGTTTTCATACAAAAGCTTTAATTTGACCTTTTATTTTGTGCTACACAAAGAAATGTTCCAGTTTTTATCCACATTTTGAGTGCTGTTTATTTACTTTCTTGTTATTTTTTCCAATATTTCAATTATTGCAATATTTTGTAGATTAAATTTACTGTTTATTGAAATTATTCTTGACAAAAACTGACCATTACAAAATTTATCAAAAGGTTATGTTTATTTAAGCATAACTTTTTTATCACTGTAAGGTTACTATTTCAATCATTAAATAGTTAATGTGTGAATTTACATAAGTTATAACTCAATACGTGTAAGTAAACGTGAATTATTTCTGACTTAAATTCATTGCATTTTCAATTTCTTTCTAGAATAAATTGTTTTTCACCATTTCAATATTCTGCGTTTATTGAATACGTATATATTACATTTGTCATTACATACGTATTAGATTGTGTATTTAAGTGCATGTTTATAAGTATATGATTGCAAATATTGTATAAAATTAGTTACGTGTATATTTTCTATAGAGACGTGTGCATGTCATGAATATATGCACATATATGTGCGCATGTGACATATACACATGTATGTGCATGTACATGTGACGTGTATATGCTCATGTAAGTAGACGAACAAAAATGCCCTTAGGAATGATAAAATGTCACACTATGATCTTAAAAATTGACCTATGAACTCAAATTGTTTCAATTTATCATAGAAAATCACTATCGTAATTCAAAAATTATGTTTCACGCATAGAATTTATTGCATGATTTACTGATCAATTTTAATATTTATTTAAAAAATGAAGCATTTGCATCACTTTCAATGTCATAAATTGAAAATATTTTTTTAATTTTGCACATTACACAAGAATTAATAATTACGCGCAAACTTTACTAAATCAATACTAAAAAATCAAACTGATCGATAATAGATCAATTATTCTATGTTTTATGATTTATCCATTGAAAAGACATATTGAACTAATGACTTCCACTCCACGTATTTAGTTGATTGATTTAGCTCAAAATTACTCTTTTTAAATTTCCAAAAAAGTTTTCACTTCAAATTGTTTGCATTTTTCGCAGCCATTTCTTATTTTCGTCTTCAGTACTGTACATCTCACTTACTTAACTATTGTATTTTTACTGTTGGCATCATAAATTGCATTTTTAATTTTTATTATCGCCACTTATTTTTGTATTAGTACTGTCATTCTTTGCTGAATTTGCATTCATTTTACGATTTTGTGCTATTTTAATACTTTTTATTTTTATTTCAAAAGTTTTCTTGCAAAAGAAAATCTCTATTTTTTATTATTTTTAATCTAAAAGCTTGTCACTGTTTTCAATTATTCTTATTCTTTTTTTCAGTTCAAATCTGAAATGTTTCATTTTGTCAATTACCACCGATTACCGTAATACTTCAATTTCTGTATTAAAAGCAGAGGTCGTATGGGAATATGACTCAACATAATGATCTGATCTGAACTGTTGTATTTGTTTTTATATTTGATAATAACAAATTATTAGTGAACGTTTACTTTGCTTTTTATATTAAGAAGTAAAATTGCATTGTGATGATTGCATCTCTAACTACATTTCTGGAAATTATCTGCATATCTTCGAAAGATAACATGCATCTCCACTTTTAATTTTTTTAAACATGGAGTAAACTTGACCTTATAATTTTTATCCATTTTTAGAGAGGTCAAGTTTAGCTCATAATTTTCGTCTGTATGAAGGGAGGTCATGCTCACTAATGTATTCAAGTTAATTCATCTTCATGTTTACGTTTCCAGTGAATATCACAGCAATTTGCTACAAGTGGTACCGCGATAAAGGCATGTTTGTCATCCTTTTATCTGTTTATATCGGTTGGCTAATTGGCTTAGTGATGGCAACAGTCATTTTAATAATATCTGGTCATGGCTGGGGACCTTTACCACATCTGTACGTTAAGTTGGTAAAATTTCTACAAAGTTTTTACCCGAACAGCTATCCTTTGACGGATGCGTTATGGCCTGCAATTATTAAACGTTGTGACACGTCATATCTAATGAAACATCGTACTGATTCACTCTCATCTTTTAAGTTCAGGTACATTTAATCCATACAATCCTTCCAATGTTCATTACAAATTTTAATCTCTAGTAATTTCTCATCTAAAATTTCAAGTATTAAAGTTAGTTTTTACATTGCAATTCAAGTTTTTAATTTATTTAAAATAATTTTGTAGCAAAATTCCGATGATCAGTGCATTTGATTTGTGTGCAGATGCATTTAAAGCAGGTTTTGAAGCAATTGTTCAGGTGCAATTATTATTCATCATTCAAATTAGGAAAAAAAAGTTAAACAAATATCAGAATTCAAAATGTTTCAACAAATCTGAAAAAGAATCAATTAAAAGATCATCAACTGCATTTCAAATCGTTTAAATTATCACTTGAACACCAATAGAAAATTAGATATTAAAAACGAAATAGAAGAGTTCCAGGTTGCTAGCAAGTTTTGCTTCAAGATTCTGTAATTATTTCATGACCGTAAAAATTTACATTCAAATTTCATGGTTTATACACTTTTTGCCAAAAAGTCTATGTATAAGATGAAAGTATCTTTAGTTTATCAATATAATATGCTAATATAATCAGTTCAATTTTTATAGCTTAATTAATTTCTAAATTAAAAAAAAAAACCCTATCGAAATTACGTTACTATTATAATTTGTTAGGATCAGATGAGTATTGCTTTCGATTCTGCTCCACCATTCTATAGCACGTTATTGGAACGTCCAGGACGTTTACCATTTCCAGATGCTTCACGTCGCATTTCACGCCGTCATATAATTGGTTACTTTATAGCTACAGCATTTCGCTATGGCGTATTGCTACCTATTCGTTTATGTCTTATTATGATATCATTTCTCTTCTCAACTAGTGCTGTTGTTGCTGATCAATTTATGGATATGACTGATGAACAGCGAGTACGTGTTGGCGTATTATATTGTCGATTATTTTGCGCTGGAATCGGTCTTGTTGCCAAGTATCACAATCGCCAAAATAGACCTAAACAGCCAGGCATATTTTCTTCTTACGTTAATGTCTCATGAATTCATTCCGCACGTACTGAGTACGAAAAATCTATTAGATAAAAAACAGCTCTCATGAATATTCTTGCTCTTTTAATTAATATTTTAAAATTATACTCTCAATTCGTTGTTATTATTTACAAATCATTTGTATTCATGCATTTCACGAGAATTCGCTACTAATAATATAACTTATTGAATATGTTAGCAATGCATTTTTTTAAATATGAAAAAAGAAGAAAGCATAATAATGCAGGTATCGCAGTAGCAAATCACTTGTCACCAAATGACGTACAAGTAATTTATGCTGACAGCGATCCAAGTGAAGGATACGGTTTTACAGTAACCGGCCAACGTCATGGTGGTATTATTTGGTTTGTTGAAAGAATTGCCGAAAGATTCATTCCAACTTTATGGCTGGAACGGCGAAGCACTACGGATCGTAAACGTTTCATGCATGACGTGTTACGAGAAGCAAAAGTTTGAATTCTAAATAAATTATTTTAAATGCAAGATGAAAAAGCTTTTCCAGTGCTACAGTTCATTCTCGAAAATAATAAGATTTTCAAATACTCACACATATTCTTTCGCAACTATTTTTCAAAAAATTATTGTAAAATAATTGTAAAATAAAACATCCCAACCATTGAAAAACTAATTATTTTAAATTTTAAGTTTCCAGTGAAGCATAATGCATTGAAATTATTGAACGTCTATTCACTTTTATCTTCACATTAAAAATATTTAAAAGTCTTTCATTTACCTTGACATGCAAAATATTTATTCTCCTCATTAATTCTGAAAAACTGTATCAATGAAATAGAAAACTACAACTGTAAAACTCACTCCATAATTAATTAAGGATTGCAGAGCAGTGGACCAGTTTTACTGTTTCCAGAGGGTGTTTGTACAAATAATACACGTGTTTTGCAGTTCCGAAGAGCTATTTTTGAAGATGATGTTGTCATTTATCCTATAGCAATAAGGTAAAACGATTTTTTAATATTCGCAAAAATTATAAATTACCATCAATAACCACAAACATTTGAAGGCAGAACCCTCGTTATGGTGATTCGTTCTGGTACGAACCAAAATTTTGGCGCTATTTGCTACGTGTACTCACATCATGGGCAATAGTATATGATGTCACCTACTTAGAACCACAACAAAAACAACCTGGTGAAAGTAATCAAGACTTCGCACAACGAATTCAAGAAGCTATAGCTCAAACGTATGCGATAACTTTATTATATTTATATAGTCAATTCTGGTACAATACTTTTGAAGCCATTATGGAAACTTCATGCATTGATAAAACACACCCATGTACATCAGCGTCAAATGGATAGCAAGAACAAGTGCAAACATTTACAGCACTGCTAAAAATTGTCTTGATGTATGAAATTATGTTTTTATCTTTGATACTTCCAGCGCAGATGTGGAGAGTATATCGTTGGATGGTCGTTTGTGGTACATAAAAAGTGAGCAAGAGCGATTAAAAACAATTCAAATGAAGAATATAGCAAAATGTCTGAAAGACCTCATTAGTAAGAGGTCGTCAGGAATGAACTCGCAAAGATTACTGAATGGTATCAGATCTTCGACGGTGTCACGTATTTCTACTGATAAACTTTCTTATCTTTGACAAATAAATTGAACAATACACTCCTGCAAACGATAACAAGTCCAAGTGTTTTTAACTATCGCAGTTACATATTTAAATTTAAGAAAAAAAAATTCTTTACTTGATATTTATGTCGCATAACTAATTATTTCCAAACACAAAAATCTGTCGCCAACAAGTCTGAAAAAAAAATCAAATTTACCGTAAAATCCAGAGATAGAATAGATAAAATACATTAAAGTCTGTGATGTTCTCACTTCAGCTGTTTATAACAGTGATAATTGCATTAACTCATCAATTTTTAAAACAAAAAAAAATAAACCATAGATCTCAGAAACAAAATAATTTGAAATGAGATAGATGATAACAACGCGCATCAAGTAGAAACATATTACAAATAACACTAGCTACATGATGAAATTCTATTTTAAAGGCCGAAAAATTCTGAAAATCAAAAAAAACAAAACAAAACAACAAAAACAGAGCTGCATAGTCTCACATGCAGTTAATCTTCCATAAATATTCATAAGGATTCCAGTTCTTGCCTGTAATTTTTAATGAGTATCATTACCTTCAAAAACGGAAACAGTATGCATGTGCTATAACTAGGAAAACAAGATATATTACATTAACAACCTATTCAACAGCGTATTAGTGAGAATGTGAGAACATCAAAATAAGTTCCAATAATGCCAGCTCTTGCTATCCTCTTTTAAAAAAATGAAGAAAGCATCTCAGCGCTGTATCGTACTTCAGGATCTACGATTAAACACTTTTTCAGTATTTCGAATACTTGACGTTCGTCTGAAAGTATACATTTCTAATTAATGATATTCATTTTATTATAATTTCATGCCGAATAAAAATATTGATCATATAGAATTAGCTTTAAAATCTATCCTAATACTTCATACAAATCAGGCATAAAAAAAACGTTGTTTCATTAAAGACTGGTGCTGACGAGTTTCGAAAGAATACCGGGGGCAAGCTCTCTTAGAGAATATTCTTCTGATGTAACACACAAGCATTTTGCACCGTAATTGCCGAAAAAAAGATTTCTGCATGAATCGCAATAGTGACTTTGATCTGGTAAACTTTCTAAAAGGATGAAATCCCAAAAATTTACATGGAACACCATCACTTTTCATAGTTCTTAGCCAATCATTCAATGGAAAACTCTGGTCAATTATTTTCGCTATCGATATTGAAAAGACAAGCACAACAGGTTGAAAATTCAGTGTAAATCAATTCAAAAGATGAACCGTTTCGAATAGCATTCACAAATTTAACTAAATCAAGCCCGCGAAAGTTCCAGCTTGTTAATAACAACGAATTATTCTTTCGAGCAACTTGTACCATCGCATCGGAACCAAAAATCGTAGCCATTTGAGCGATTGCTTCAAAATCATCGTCAGGGCGCATCACTGGATGTTTGTGGCAAATCAGAGACAAAAATGTGATACCAGCCGACCAAATGTCTAGCAATGAAGTTTGACTTTCAAATTTCAACAAGACCTCCGGAGCACGAAATCCTGGTGTTCCAGCCTGATGCATTATACCAATAGTTATGATAGATTATTGCTACATATGTGCAGAACGTGAAAAAGTTTTTAATAATATAGTTGTAAAAAATATCTGTTAATTACTGACTTATAAAATTTACATATCCAATATAAACGCTAACTTTGTTAACATTAAGTCGAGGTCGCTTGGTACATATGTTACAGACGCGCGGGAAACCATAGCACTTGCAAACCTCCGTGCCCCACTTTTCAGCTTGTTTTTCTATATCATCTTTATTTCTATTCCATACTCTAAGTGCTTTAGAGACAGATTGTTCTCGAGACTAAATAACATATGTTCCTCACCTCTCAAAACCAAAATGCAGAAAAAACTACTTTAGAAATACCTGGAAATTTCATCAAATACGATTTTCATGCAAAACACGAGAATGATAAATTTTAATGTGGGCTAGCTAGCTAGCTTCTAAGAAGCGCAATTATAAACTCCATTTTCTCCCTTACCTTATCATGATTTCTAACATACTTCATCGGAGATTGGCCTCTAGGTATTTCTTCGCAAAGACCAAAATCAATTAAACAATACCTAAAAATTGACATTGAAGCGCCAACAAATTATTTGCGATTTGAAGATTCCTATACTGGAAACTTACTTATGCTTTGCTCGGTTGTAAAGAAAATTAGATGGTTTTACATCCCGATGAATAATACCTTTCCCATGTAAATATCTTAATGCATCCAATAAGTGCTTCATGTAATCCAAAATTTCTGGCACAGTAATAGATCCTATAAAGTCCTAAAAAACAGGAACAAATACAGACTTTAACTATCTTTAGTCTGATTAATCCTCATTATAACAATAAAAAATGTGTAGTAATGATTATTAATGAGATTTTAAATAGTTCATACAGAAATTTAAACTTTATAATGCTGCCAGCTGCAACCAAATTTTATCCTTTTGTACATTTATTTAAATTACCAATGAATTTTTTTACCCTAGTAGGAGTATGCTCAAAATAATCCATAACAATGAAAACGCGATCCTCTTCGCGGTGAGCTGCATGAATTCCCACAATATTATGAACACCACCATATTTTCGCAAAGTACGTAGTTCTGCAGCTATGAAACTTGGTAAATTACTTCTCGCCAATTCTTTCATTGCATACAACGTACAAGGCTCTCGAAGACATTCTATTTTATAGACATTGCCAAAAGAACCTTAAAAAGTAAGAATTTATGTTCCAATTTTTTAAAAACATGTTTGTATATAATTGACAAAAACGCCAAAATATTATTATGACTATTTTCAAATTTCTTTATTAATATTCCGTCAGAAGGCAGTGACACTTTTTAAGGCATATAAACACAAAACCATAGACAAATGATGAACAATATATCTGATATTTTTTAGTACAGGTTATAAAATCTTTACATTACATACCGGGGACAAAAAAAAATAGATAACTCAGTTTGGTACACACCGGTAGCAGTAACTGGAGCTACAATTGATAAGGGAAATGCAAAACCGGCCGATTTCTAATATTCACGAGGAATGTGCATCTAGCATTTTAACAAGACTTCAGGTTTGTGAAAGCTTTTTGCTTAACTACATGAAATTTTTCTATTCAACTGGATCAACGACAAAAATTAAACTTTACAGTGCTAAATATGAATTAAAGACTGATCTCTACACAGATATTAAGTGGGATAAACAACATGTGATAGGCGTTATTTTCAGAAATTAATTGTATCTATATCAGTAATGCAATCAATGAATCCTTTAAAGACTGATAAAATAAATGCGAAGAAAAAATAAAAACGGAAAACTTCTGATGCTTTTTATTGTTACAATAAAGTTAAACTTCTCAACCACCTGCGGCAATTACTAAAAGTCGATGTATTTACAGTTTTAATAAATATTTAAAGTAAAATAACGGTAGAAAAGCAGATGCAAGCAAATAATTATACCTGAACCGAGCACTTCGCCAACACGAAAGTTTTCTTGAACCCATTTGCTAGACGTCGGTAAATGAGGTACACGTGATTTTGTAGCCAACGTAGGCATAGTCCCAGTCTGTTTTCAAAACTTAAATATATTACTAGACTGAATCCAAACTTTTTGATATCAAGAAAATTAATCTTAAATAAATATGAAATCAGAGCGTACCCATCGACACCATATTAACTACAATAACGTAGCATTTCATATCTCAATTTCTCAAGGTTTTTTTTTTTGCATCGCGGTTTCGAAAATATTTCACGGGCCGTTTAAAATCAGGTATAATTTTTTCCTACGCCATGTGGATAGAGTCGGCGTATTTGGAGTTCTAGTCACAGTGGGTCGCACTTAGATGTTTTGAGTACTTTATACAATTTTTTTTTAATTTCAGTTTTTGTTCTTTTTAGAAAATATGACTGAGGGTTGACTTATTTAACGCGGTAAAGACCCGTGAGTAAGAGGTGGCCAGGTTGTTGCTTGAAAGTTTCGAAGTTTTGCGTTTACATCAGTTCATATTGTTAGTTTGAAAGCAAAAACTGTATTGAGAATCATAACTATTTAATATATGAGTGGTTAAAAGAAATTTGTATGTTTTAGTTTCGAAGGCAATCAGCTATGAAGAAAAGAGTATCAACTGATATTCAGTGGCAAATAATTCGAAAAACTTCGTCGTTTTTACGACGTCAGCGTGGAATTCCAAAGCATTTCAGCAGAGAACGTTTTAATTTGAAAGGTGTTAACAGTATTCGGTACAATGGGTTGATTAACAAGAAAGGTTTAGATATCCAAGCAACAGATGATGGCAAAGGCATTGTGATTAATATGAAGAAAAGAAGTAGGTTTTAACTCCTCTTCTCACTCTTGTTAAAATTAATTTTTAACTTCAGGATTCTGCAATGCATATGTATTACCATGTTCTGTTGATTATCACACCGAGAATCATGTGAAATCACTTTTGTTGCATGATTAATGTTAAGATTACGTCACTTTATGTAACTATGTAACTATATATATATATATATATATAT